GATTCAACCATCAATAAATATAAACAAAATGGGTCAAAACACATCGACTATGTTTAAAGCTATGAGTTTAAAAAGATACTAAAAACAAAACAAAAAAATCCTAATTAGCCTCCATTGGACAATGATAGTAAACCGCTTATTATTTTGAAACTGGAAAATAAAAGGAAACAGTCAAACATTTCTCCTATTTTTCTATCTTACTAGGTAACCAAATAATAGAGACATTTGAATATTTATATTTCAGCTAATAAAAGAAGAATGATAGGATCGGAACACCATCATTTTATAACTCCCAATTAGCTAGAGAATATAAGCAATAAACACTGGTGGCTGCTAATACCACAAATAAGAGAGGCCACTGGACTTTATGATTTCCTCACAAAGAATACAATCTAACCTCAGAGGTAGTGTTGCACACAAAAATCAAATGTAAATATGATTAAATACCTAAATCAAACTACCAATTTATAGGAAATATAGATGGTTGAAGAACATGTTAAATAGCACCACAGGTCTACTACAATCAGGAAAATCCAGACTGTGGTAATCCCTACGGGTCAAAGAATCCAATTTCTTCATCAAGTAAATTGCAAGGTGCCAGGGAGAGGAGGAGGGGAATGTAAAAGAAATCTGTGGATGAAGAGGCACTTACAAGACATGTCAATCTACTGGAATGCATGACCCTTATTTGGATTCTGATGTTAAGTAAGGGTTAAAAACACAGATTTATAGAACTATTAGAAATTCAAACACTTGTCTGACATTTGATGATATTAAAAGATTATTGCTAGTTTGTTAAGATATGCTAATGGTATTGTGGTAATGAAATGAAAGGATTAGTTTCTTTTTTGAGATACATACCTAAGTATTTACAGAACAAATTATATAATGTTTTGGTTTATATATATGTGAAAATACACACACATACACACACACACACACATATTTAAATTTGTTTTACAATAACCGAGTGGCAGGTGAAAAAGCAAGGGGGACACAGACAGAACGAGGTCAGTCTTGCACTGATGATTGCTGAGGCTGGAAGAGGGTCTATAAAGCCTTGTTGCTCTACTCTTTCCACGTTCCAACATTTACACCTTTCATAATAAAACGTTAAAATAAATCCTTCCCATTGTCATGCTCAGAGAACTAACACCAGGCTTAGTGGATCACGGTTCCGACCAGTATCCCTTTCCCAACGTTTCAGGAATAATGAAGAGTTGGGCTTTGTGCTTTAGGCCATTCATCTATGGAGTTTCTCCACGCCCCTCCTTCCTAGAATACGTGCTCAGGAGCATATTCACATACACATATAAAAATCTACCAGCAACAAAAGATTTCTCATGACAAATATTTGGCTTTGAAGCTGAAAAGGGTATGAGGGACTGGTGATTTCGTGCAGACACTGAATTCCCCTCGTATAGGATTCAATGGAGTTCATGGCCGGGGTGAAAGGAAAGACAGTTAGTGTTGAGGTTGGTAGGTGTGTACATCCTGAAGTTCTAAGCAAATGACAAGGCCATTCTGGATGACAAGGGACACAGGTTGTGTTTCCATGCTATTATTTACATTGGTGTCTCTGAGTTTCCTAAATTAGATAATATAGTAGTCCCCCCAACCCCCGCCCCGCCACCCTCATGGTGGGAAGTAGGAGATACATTCCAGGACCCCTAGTGGATGCCTGAAACCACAGAAAGAGCAAACCCTAGTCAACTTCTTCAGCTCTGTTGGAAATACAGCAGCAGCTTCATCATCCGCAGGTGCGGCCTCTCAAGTAGTTTTTATATTTTTCAGTCTGAACCTATTGCTGAATTTGTGTGAGCATCCCTCACTTGCAGCAAATGGCTTGGTGTCACTTCTTTTGGGGGATCCCTAGCTGAAGTCTTTTACAGACTCATACTTTCTGGTGCCACACGTTGCCATCAATTGGGACACGTTTTCTGTTCATGTCTTCAACCCATACATGTAATGCCTTTTCCATCTTAACTAAGCACTTATCATGCACTGTGGCTGTAACTTTTGCAGCTCGAGGTGCGACAGCAAAATGAGCGTGAATTTCTTTTTCCTTCTCCGCAATTTCACGGATAGAAGATTAGTTCTTACTGTAGATCTTAGCAACCTCAGCATACAACGTTTTCTTTTTCCTTAATAAGCAGAGAACTTTACCTTTTTCCTTAAAGGAGGCACCTCGTGGCTTCCTTTTGGCAGAGCTCAATTGCCAACATCACCACTCTTGCCCTTTGGGGCCATTATTAAGTAAAATAAGGGTGACTTGAACAAAAGCACCGGGATACCATGACAGCCTATCTGATAACCGAGGACTGCTCCTAAGTGACTAATGAATGGGGAGTAGCTACGGCATGGATGCACTGAACAAAGGGATGAGTCACATCCTGGCTTGGGGGGGGCTGCGAAATGGCGTGAGATTCATCATGCTACTTATTAGAACAGTGCACAATTTAAAACCTGGGAATTGTTGCCCTGACTGGTGTGGCTCAATGGGTTAGGCATCGCCCTGCAAACAGAAAGGTCACCAGTTCGATTCCTGGTCAGGACACATGCCTGGGTTGCAGGCCAGGTCCCTGGTTGGGGATGTGTGAGAGGCAACCAATAGATGTCTCTCTCTCTCTCTCTCTCTCTCACATCAGTGTTTCTCTCTCTCTTTCTCCCTCCTTTTCCCTCTCTCTAAAAATAAATAGCCCTGGCTGGTGTGGCTCAGTGGATTGAGTGCCAGCCTGCGAACCAAAGGGTCGCCGGTTTGATTCCCAGTCAGGGCCCATGTCTGGGTTGTGGGCCAGGTCCCCAGCAGGGGGCATGTGAGATGCAACCACGCATTGATGTTTCTCTCCCTCTTTTTCTCTCTCCCTTCCCCTCTCTAAAAATAAATAAATAAAATCTTTTCAAAAATAAAATATTTTTAAAAATGTATGAATTGTTTATTTTTGAAATTTCTCCTTGAATATTTTCAGAGGGCAGCTGACAGAGGGTAAGTGAAACTGCAGAAAGTGGAGCTGAAGATGGGGGGACTACGGTATGTGGGTGCTATCTGGGGGGCGCCTTGTTATTCCAGGCCTTGGGCAATGTGATAAGATACCACAAAGAAGGACAAAAAGCCCCTGCTCTCAAGGCGATTACAGCCTAGTGGGGGGGAATGATAACCAGGAAATGGGCAGTTTCGCCATTTTGGGAGGAAGTGCCTCCAAGGGGAGGAAGTGCCTCCAAGGGGAGGAAGTGCCTCCAAGGGGAGAGCTCCAGGTTTAAGGAAGCCCCCAGGAGGGACTCGTACCTCTGTAGGTGCAATTAGGGCACAGACGTGAGGCTGGTGAAAAAAAACAAGCCACATAATTCTTCCTGAATTGCAAGTGAGGGCTGGGAGGTGCCATTTCTAACATCAAGCATCAAATCTGTTTCTTACTTCCTGGCCTCTCACTTTGATTTCCTCCTCCCACCCTACAGCCAGGGGCAGGACTTGAGGTTTGGCTCCTATCTCCTCAGCTCTCTCGATTTCTCTCACCGGCAAGGGTCCCGTAGAGAATTAGAGCGGTGTGCCCTTCCATGGACCTTACAGTATTCCTCACCCCACCGCGGTTTTACTTTCCGAGGTTTTGTTACCTGTGGTCAGCTGTGCTCTGAAAAAGTTAAATGGGAAATTCCAGAAATAAACAGTTCCTAGGTGTCACACTGTCACTGTTCTGAGCAGCATGACAAAATCTCGCTCTGTCTCTCTCCATCCCCCCGGGGTGGGAATCACCCTTTGTCCATCATCTCCACACTGTCGGTGCTCCCGCGGGGGAGCCGCGCAGTCGCGGTGTCGGTTATCAGATCGGCTGTCCTGGTACTGCAGTTCTTGCCTGTGTTGAAGTGGGGCCTATTTTACCTAATAATGGCCCTACAGAGTAGCGAAGCTGGCAATTCGGACCTGCCAAAGAGAAGCTGCAAAGTGCTTCCTTTAAGTGAAGAGGTGAAAATTCTCACCCTAAAAGGAATAAAAAAAGGTGGTTATGCTGAGGTTGCTAAGATCTACAATAAGAATGAACCTTCTTTCATGAAATTGTGAAGAAGGAAAAAGAAATTCATGCTTGTTTTGCTGTTGCACCTCAAGCTGTGAAAGGTACGGCCACGGAGCTTGGTGAGTGCTTAGTTAAGATGGAAAAGGCGTTCAATTTGTGGCCGGAGACATGGACAGAAGACACGTACCAGACTGTGGCAATGTGCTGAGCCAATGCAAAAACTTCTGCAAGGAATCCTCTATTGTACAAAGGATACCAAGCCATTTGCTGCAAGTAAGGGATGGTGACACAGATTCAGTAATAGATTGGACTGCAAAACATAAAAATTGCTGGAGAAAGAGAGAGAGAGAGCATAAATACATATTCACATAACTTTTAGTATAGTATATTGTTATAATTGTCCTATTTTATTATTAGTTATTGTTGTTAACCTCTTACTGTATCTAATTTACAAATTGAACTGTATCATAGGTATGTGTGTATAGGGGAAAACACAGTATGTATAGGATTTGTTACTATGTGCAGTTTTAGGCATCTACTGGGGGTCTTGTGGATAAGGGGGAACTACTGTAGTTGGAAATCACTGCAGACGCAGAGTAGGGTGGTGGTTATGAGAGTGGGCTTCACGGTTAGGTGTGGGCTTGACCCATGGCCCTGTCAGCTCTACACCCACTTTGATGCTGTCAGGTTATGGATTCTACTACTGACTTACTATGGGACTTCAGAGTTTGCAAAACACTGAGGATTTTCCTGGAAAAGATAAAGCATATAACTGTAATTTTCTATGTAATAACATAACTAATCTAGGAAAGCAATACTCCTGGAATCCCATTATGCACCTACCTGGAATGGTTTCCATTGATGCCCTTACAAATAATAAACCCTGGAATTCTAACTATATACAAGGCCTTGAACTTGTGTTAAAGGGTGGGGTGGCGGAGTGGACAAATGAACACCTTTTGGTAAAACCATTTGAGTAGTTAAGCAAACCTGGGCATCTTCAAATGTGTATCTCCCTCCATCTTTGACGTTTTGACTGGTTATCTCGTAGCTATGAGAATCCAGGTTGATTGCACTTGGGGCCCCCGGCGACAGAAACTCTTGCCAGATTTCTTCCACCCTCTTGGCCACATCCTGCAGAGGTTGTTTCTTGAGATCTTGGACCGCCAACCAGAACCTGAAGTGGAAGTATAAAGATAGTCAGCCTCAGGGGCCTTAGCATTTGGACTCTGCTGGACATGGTCCCAGAATGGACCTTCCATGAGGGTCATGCCGCTGCATCCGCCAGTATTCCCTGTTGCCACCACTCGGGGACAAAGACCGCAGGGACTGCTGAAAACACAAGCGGTGCCCCGCCGCTGTGGAAAACCAAAAAGTAGTGCACATTATAAGATCATTGTGCCTCTGATTACCAAGAAGAGATCTCTCTTCTTCTACATCAAGGTCTCTCAGCCACGGCACTATCGCCATGTTGGGCTGGGTCCTTTTTTTATTGCGGGGCCTGCCCTGTGCATTGTAGGGGGCTTACAGCAGTCTTGGCCTCTACCCACCAGATGCCAGGGGCAACCCCTCTCCAAGTAGTGACAACCCAAAATGCTTCCAGACATTACCGAATGTCCCCTGGGAGGTAATATCAGCCCTGGCAGAGGACCACTGCTCTATGCAGATGTCATGACACAGGTAAAAGTGACTTCCTTTGTCCTTTCTGGTTGGGATCAGTGAGAGGCATCAAAATGAAGGAAAGATCACAGGGACGGAGAGAATCTTGGGATCATAAAGAACGTCTGAGCTGGAAGGACCTAGCTAGTCCTGATAACGATGCATTGATTCCCAACACCGCTGTCCAGCAGGGCGTTTGCATGTGGTTGGCACTCAATAAATGGCTGTGGATCGGGGACGAGTTCATCTACAGCAAAGCTGAAGGAGTATCCATGGGGAACCTCTGCCAGAAGATTCTCCAGAAGCGCTGGAGAGAAAACCCTCCTGTTCACGTCCATATTTGCCCATCGTAAATCCCTCAGTGTCCACATGGCAGCAGCCATTGGGAGAGGCGGGTGTGAGCTTTTTTCTGCTGGGAGCAGCAGCAACCAGAGCCAAAGCTTGGACAATAGGTCCCCAGGCCCTGAGGGTGGCTTCTAAGGCAGCCCTGGGGGGCATTTTCGGCAGGGTCCAGGTGCGGGTGGCACACTTGGTACCCTGTGAAAGAGAGAGGCCACTTTCCCCGTCGGTGAGCCACTGGGACAGGCCCCGGCTTTGTGATTCCCACAGCCATGGGAATCACACATAGGCAAGTCCACAAAAGGGCAGGGATGAGAGAATCTGAAACACAACATGGTGGAGAGTGCTTTCAATCTGTCATTGAATTTCACCCAAAGTAAGATGTACTTGTTGTTTTTTAAAAGGTTAAGCATGTTTTTCTGTTGCTGTTCAGAGGCCTGTCTTTGAAGCCAAGTGTGTGGCCCGAAGGCACCACTTAGTGGCCAACTGTGGTAATGCAGCTCCATTTCCACAAGGAGACAGGACAGGTGCACGCGTGTGTGCAGTGCACGGTGGGCTCCACTCTTCCCCTGGTGGTCCATTTGGGATTCTAATAACCTCCCAGAAGAAACCGGCATGGTCTCCTTGATGGTTCTGAAGAGCATGAGTTCAAGGCAGAGGAGACGTAATAACTTCACTCCACCGAAAGATGAGGAAGTGCAGTTTTGGCCCTGTCCTGGCTATGCTGCTGTCTTGGGATTGTACCTTTCCGGGTGCCTCTTTCCTCACCTGGAAAATGGATGCAGAGTTGGGGAAGAGATATGTGATGTGCATTTGAAGAACTTCCCATCCCGGTGTAAGTTGGAAAAGCTGTCCGGTTCTGTGAAAAAATGGGCGTGCTGGTGGATGAGGAGGAGGAAGAGGAGAAAAAGAAGGGGAGAGGAGGAGGGAGGTGACATCCCCTGACAGTATTTTTCCCTCTCTGCACGCATGGAGACCCTCTCGGCCTTCCGTGTGCCTTGGAGATGGCCTGTGCCATCCCTTTTCAAGTGACAGCAGACACGCTGTCACAGCAACATACTGACATTGCATATGTGTTTACTATCACTGGCTTTGAAGACTCTTTGTGTCAATTTGAAATTCAGAACAGGCTTTGGTTTGTGTTTGCCACCTGTGAGCCCACGGGCCCAAGCTCGAGCTCTGTGCCCGGCTGCCTGGTCACACTCTCCCTGGAAAGAGCCCCGGAAGCTCGCCTCTGCACATTTACCCCGGCTGGGAGGTCCATGGGGGGCCTGTGTGGCTTTGTCCTTATCAGAAGCCTGCAGGTATCCCTGCTCCGGGAGGACGCCAGCAGGGAGGAGGCTGCCAGCAGCGGCGTCAAGTCCAGCCATCCTGCACTAAGCCTCTGTGGCGGGCAGCAGAAGGGCTTCCATGACTGGCAGGCCGTGAGGACTCGCTGGTATCAGGGAGACCACCTGTCCTGCCTGGCCCGGGTCATCGGAGCGCAGGCAGGCAGCCCATGTGCCAGCATGTGACCTGTGTCCATGACTTAGGAATGCAGGCAGGATGCCGGGTGTTATGGGAGGGAACCTGGCTCATACACCCCCAGGCTGAGCAGTCATGGGCTGGAGTCGCAGGCTCCCTCAGGATCGCGATGTGGACGAGCAATGGGCTTCTGCCCTCATGGCTGGTTGGGACGAGGGAAAGCGTTCCCGAGCCTGCCAGGAGGTCTGGGCAGCCCCTCTGTTCCTAGCTTACACAGCTTTGCATAAACTAGGATTTTCATGGGTGAGAAAAATACAGCTTTTAGTTTATTTGCAGAGAAAAAGCAAACTCCATGCAAAAGGAAGTCTTTCTGTGCCCTCTGCTGGTCAACAGAGACTCAGGAACAAGGGATCCGACTTGACTTAGGCGCTGGTTGGGCACGTCTGTGAGGCCATCAGCACCACGCCATGGACGCTGAGTTATGTTCCAGGGGCCATGGCTGAAATGCCACAGATTGTCACAGTGTTGCGTGAGGCACCTCTGTCCTGATTAATCATGTGCTTGGTTAGTGGTGGACCCCATCAGGCCTGGTGAACCTTTAGAGGTCTTTCCAGGACTCCAGGCCACTGCCAGAGAGGGGAGGCTGGCGGTGCAAACCTAGCAACTCCCCTGTGCTGTGTTTAATTGCATCTCCCCTCAGCCGACACTGTGTGGAACCAGGATAATCAATCTGCAGGTTAGAAGAACAACCCTGTTCTCTCTGGAGGCGGTACAGCTCATAAAAAATGTACGGGGGACGCTCTTAGCTGCAGGTTTTGATTTTTAACTCACGCCATGCTATGTGGGAGAAGGTGTCGAGTCAGGGAGGACACAGATCTGTGCAGGGGAGATGGAGAGGGGACAAAGGTGGCAGGGGGCTCCTGACATCATTCTGGGAAAATGCACAGAGCAGGGAGAAGAGTGACCTCAGATAATTTACTGGAAGTCCCCGCTTCAGGACTGGGAGGCCCCCACCATGGGGACGAGAGGCCACCTGCCTTCCAAAGGCCCCAGGCAAACAGCTGTCTGCAGGGGGCCACCCAGTCCAAACAGTCCCTGGGCTCAGCTCCGGGTGCTACAGACAGTGTGCTGTCACATGCTGTGCCGTTTGCAGCAAATGCACTGGTGGTCCCCCGCAGGCCCTGGCGATGATGCCTCTCCCTTGGCTCACAGGCGCGCTCTGAAGCTCTGGTGTAAATCCACCCATTTGGCCACTCAGCAGGCACTGCGGGTGTGGTGCGGATATATGATGATCTTAGTGCCCTTTTACTGGAGAGATGCAAGGGAGCACAGGGGCCTAGGTGTGGAGGCCCTTTGCACTGCGTCCTGCTGAGTTCTGGTCAGTCTCTCTTTCTCTTTTCCTCCCAAGCCCCAGTGCCAGTTGCCTGGGATCTTGACCAAGGCTGGGAGAAGAAATGACCCCAGCGTGGCCAACACCACGTACAGGCAGGATCCCCGAGCTGCGCCGCGCTGCCCAGCTCCAGGGGTCCCGCTTATGGACCGCGGTAGAGGCGCTCCTGGATGAGCGGTGAAAACGTAGTCAGCTCTGCGTCCTCGGGTCCGGGGTCATCACAGGAACTAGGCCAATATCTGCGACTGAAGGCATGAATACCAAGGGACGGGGGAGAAACTACCTGGTCGTGAGTGACCTAGGAGTCCTGACGCTGTGATTTAAAACTGAGCTTCGCCCCCATATATCCAATTGTGCTGAATGTCACACAAGTGGAATTCGGACCTCCGGGGGGGTTTTAGAAGCTTTTGGGCTGTACTGTGTACCTCTGGCTGTTTGATATTTTCTTTATCCTCTCTTCCGACATGCATCAGAGGGGGCCCTCTTTACGTCTGGATGTAGGCATTCCAGTGTAAATTAGTCGGTGGCACACTCACGTGCGCTCACACTCACACTTTCACTCCAAATTGAGTGTAGACCTCCTGGCACGGGAGGAGGCTGCTGGCAGGGGCGCAGAGGCGATGGCGGGCTGAGGCGCTGAGCCCCTGCTGGGGCTCCCTCCTGCGGGCGCTCTGGGCTGTGAGGGTAATGCACCTCTCATAAAACGCTGTGCGGGCGTGGCTACACCCAGACTAGGCAGAGCAGTGCTGAGCCAGCAGCAGCTCCTGTTCCTGGTGTCTCACAATGACCAGGACCCTGTGGCCGTCCTTCAGATTCTCTGCAACAGTGCAGGGGGCAGAGGGCCCTAAGGCTGCCCATGGGCCGAAAGATAGTCAGGTGGAGGCAGCCTCTGTACCGCTCCATCGTGAGGACCCGGGGGGGACAGGCTGAGAAGGAGAGATGGAAAGGACTTCCAGGGCTGGCTCATGGGGACCAAGTTGGGGCAGGGCCCTGGGGCTGAAGTGGCCACACAGAGAGGCTGCCTGATGCCTCATGCTGGCCACAGAGGGCACAGCTTCCAAAGCAGGACCCACATCCAGCACAGCCTGCGAGGCTGGTCTGGACACGACCTGACTAAAGTCAAGCCTTCCACTACAAATACCTTATGAGGAACTGAAGCAAGCTCTGAGCTATGTGCATAAAGCCTCAGCGCAAGGAAAGGATGCTCGTGTCATAACCTGAAGTCAGATACTCGGCCTTATCTGGTTTACAATAGGCACATGGCTTCCTAGAAGGGCATTGAGTCAACTGGCATCTATATATCATCCCTGGACTTAGTGGCTCATAAGCTCATCCAGCTCAGAATATGCCCTCTCCCTTCTTTGTCTATCAGTATCCTGAGTATCCTTCTACTCTTACACTCCTGCCTCCCTTTTAAAAACACTTCTAAAATGGTTCTTCAAGTTTACACTGGTTTATATTCATTTAATAATTTAATAGTTTCTTGTGTTTTTTCCTCAAAGACCTACAAGGTCATTGCAGGTGAAGATCACACGTCTTGACTTCCTTGCATCCCTCAGCAAACCCTCATGGGGCTCGGTGTGGCACACGTGTATAATAAATATCACTTGACTAATGTGTGGGACAGAGACGGTCTTTCACTAAAAATGAATAATAGGGACTTTGCATATTAACACTGGAGTGGACAGTTTCTTACCCACAGTATATGTTCTGACTTTTAGAAGTTCAAAGATATTTTCAAAAGTTCATAAAGCCACTCTTAGAAAAAATGCCATTGGAAGATGAGAATTAACCTGCATACAAAAGAAAACTTGGTACCCAGGAAAAACCCGGAGATTTCCAACTTCCCCTCTGAGGAGTCACCCGTTAGCAAAAATCACCCTTAAAGGGTCCTTTAAGTTACATATTCGGCAGGCCTCCACTTCTACCCGAATACAACAAAAGCCTGAGTAAGCCACCAGTTTCCAACTTTTCATAACCAGGGCCTTTTCTCTGTGAATGCACCACCTTTCTTCCCTCTCTCAATGGGCCTTATGTTTTGAAAGGTTTATTTTTTTCCTACTGAATAGTAATTACTAATACACGAATACATTTTCCCTTATCTCAATGAGTCATAGAATAGACACAATCAGGTGTTTCGTTGGCATCAGGTGACCAGGATAACCACCGTGAGAGTTGACAGAATTCCCCCCCAAAGAAAAGCATGTTTTAATTAGCTTTTACAGTTATGTCTGCAGTTATCGAATGATGTTTCTTCTTGCTTTTTGAGATTCTGCAATGAGGCCACAAACCCCTTTTTCTCCTGGTTGGCCCATTACGTGTTCAGGGCCCTGGACGTGGGAGGGCCCGGAGGAGGGGGTGTCTGAGCTGCCGTTCACGCTGAAGCCCCCAGCTCCATGGTTTAGTTACAGGGCGGTGTCGTCAGGCCTGTTTGACCATTTACCTGCTACTGGAGACATACATTCAGTAATTTGAAGGAATGTCATCAGGAGTTAAAGGACGACAAATGCTCGTGTTGGTAGGTGCTCATGTGGTGATAGCAAAGCTGCATATAAAGTTTGTTCGCCTCCATTTCAACCTTTGCCAGGTTAGCTGGAATTTGAGTTTGAACCATAATATTTGATTGAAAAGAGGATGCAGGAAGAGAGGCTGGTCATGCAAATTTCTTCATACACACCCTACACACAGCTCAAACTTTTGAGAGGTTTACCTGAGGTTTTCGGAACTGAACTCAGACTCCAGGAATCGTAGGAACTGCTCCCGCCCCACCTGGTCCTTCAGCATCTCGTCAAATGAGAAGCCCCATCTCTTTACTCGCTGCTGGCTGGGCTCTTTGCTTTTGGAGGGGAACAAAGGTTTAAAAAAGGATCAGTACCAGGCAAGAACCTGTGTCATATTCTCTCTAGCAAGTCAAATCTATTTTGCTGCCACATGACAGAGGAAAATTTCACAAATTTAAGTGATAGATTCCCCAGAAACCTGAACAAACTCTAAATGCAGACTTCTGTACACCAACATCAGCCAACAGTAAGAAGTCTCTTTAAGGAAGGCCTTTAGGTTAGGGTCACCAGGAGGCGTGCCAAGTGGTTCCTGTCTACTGAAAGTACAGCCACCCTACTGATTTGGCTTCCCTGGACCATTCCTGTCAGTTATAGGCCCAACATTGGACTCCATCCTTTTTTACTTTTTTTTTTTTTTTGTTATAACCGAGGATGCCTTGTGAATCCAACCTTCCATAAGAGATGTTGTTCTCATCTATCACCCCTTCCTCAATACACAGGGGAGAAACAGAGTCCTGTTTAGATCCAGGTGACCTACAGCTGGTCAGAAAGGAAACAACTCATCCACGATAAAACCTACTCGCGTGTTTAGAAGCAGAATGTTGTGTGCATTTATTGATTGAACAACCACCTGCACAGCGTTTATGATGTTCTAGGCATTTTACATCTGTTAACTCACTGAGTCCTCACAACTAGTCTATAAAACATGTACTAGCATCATCCCCACATGACAGAGAGGGAAACTGTGACCTAGTGATAATTTTCCCAAGGATACTCTAGAAAGTGAGGGAGTCAAGACTCAAGTCCAGATAGTGCAGCTCCAGAGGGCAGCTCCTAACTGTAACTGCTGTGCTGCATCACAATGCGGCAGGGGCGAGGGGGTTGGTGGTCTTATTCTTTTGGTGTTGGAAGACGCAAATATTTCCTTCAGCTTCTGTCTTTCCACTGCCACTTCACTTGCTGTCTTTATTCTCCCGACCCTTCAAGCAGCAATGGGGCCCTAGTTCACAAGTCACATGCCGTTGTAATGCCCCACTCAAGGAGCAGTCTATAGATGTGCGCAGGGAGTACTGGACCCCGTCTCAGACCTGTGGGATCAGCGTCCACAGTTTAATAAGATCCTGGATGATTTCAGTGCCCATTGGTGTAGCAATATTTATTTTTCCTCTTCTTCAAAACTGACACATAGGTTTTATTATTTCTAACAGACATTAAATAAATGAAATCATTTCCTCGTAGTATGGAGTTGACATAGTCTTACTATTTATCTTAGAAAATTACACTTATTAAAGGAGAACAAAAGCATGTGTGCTGAAAGGTTTGGAAAAACAAATAGCTCTAGACCAGCGCTGCCCAAGAGAACTTTCTGTGATGATGGGAATAGTCTTTGTCTGTGACCTCCAATATGGTAGCCACTAGCCACAGGTAGCTTTTGAGAACTTGAAATGTGGGCAGTGTGAGCAGGAAACTGAATATTTAATTTTAAATAATTAAAGTTCAAATGTAAGTGGCTACATGTGGCTAGTGGCTGCTCTATCGGAAAGCACAGCTCTGGACGTAAGCAACTCAAGCCCAGAACTTCTATGTCTGCACCGCTAGATGTAACCAGCAGCTGCAGGCTCTTCTGAGTGTGAGATTACGTGTGTGGGCTCGGGAAGCTCTTGTGCACAACTCTCCATCTTCAGCTTAGCCCAGTGGACCCAGTAAAAGACTAAGTCCACCAGGTGAGCCAATGGGGAATTCCATGAAAAATCTCCTCCAAAGCATCAAGCTGGGCTTTCTACAATGAGCCAAGAAGACAGGTCCTGGATTCTCTATAAATGCAAGCCACAGGACCAATCCCTCTCAACAGAGTTCTGGGGCACAAAACGTCCTATTTATAAAGACATCCCCCTAGGGTTGAGCTGGCAGCAGGTGTAAGCCCCAGAGCGCTTCAGGATATTGTCTCTTTCTGCCAGGGTCATGCTGTCACCTGGGATGGGCTCAACCACCTGCTCTTTGCCAGCCAAGGTGGCAGGGCTCTGTGGGGATGGTGCTGGTGGCAGCTGCACCCTGATCAATAGCTGTGCCTGAACAGCCAGGTACGGAAAGTCTCTCAGTGTTTGCAATGATTGTTTCTTGGACACACACTCACCACTGGTGCCACTACTTTCTGGTACTCAAGCTAAGAGTCCTCATTCACTCCTCCAGGTTCATTGGGGGTGGCCGGGGTGGGGGAAGGACCATTTTGGGGGTGGGCCAGAAAGCTGGGGTGTCATGCTAGATGGAGAATCAGAGGCCTAGGATGGAGGTCAGGACATCCAGAAAGCTGTAAGGACAGCAGCCTTCTGCAGAAACAAGGAGGTCTGGAGAGCCAGGACACCCTGGTGTGGTAGTTTCCTAGGGTTACTGCAACAAAGTACCAACAAAGTGGGTGGCTTATAATAGTGGAAAATTATTCTCACAATTCTGGAGGCTACAAGTCTGCAGTCAAGGAGTCAAGGTGCTGGCAGGGCCACGCTCTCTCTGAAGGTTCCTGGGGAGAATTTGTTCCATGGCTTTCTGATAGTTTCTGGTGATGCCAGGAATGCCTAGCACTCCTTGGCTTGCACGCGCATCCCTCCAATCTCTGCCTCTGTCGTCATGTGGGGTTCTCCCTGTGTGTCTGTGTCTCTGTTTTCTCTTCACACAAAGACACTGGTCATACTGGAATAGGAGCCCATCCTATTCCAGTATGATCTCGTCTTAACTGATTGCATCTACAACAGCTCTATTTTCAAATAAAGCCCTATTCTGAGGTCCTGGGAAGGATGTGAATTTTTGGGTGACATTATTCAACCCAGAACACCTGGGGTCCCCCAAATACCCATTTTTCACAGTCAATCCTTTTTCTATACCTAGATGTTCCACCTCTGCTCCTTTGATCCCCTAGTACATTTGGCCATTGGAATCTATTTTATTAAAAGCTTCCTGGGTAAAACTTCTCTATATGTGTGTTTCCTGCACTATTTGAGTATTTCCAACCATCATTCTCTTTAAGGTTCAAGATCAGATTTGAACATGTCGCTACTACTGAACGGTCTCTGCGGTTACAAAATAATTCTGAGAATTAGAGCACCTCTGGACATTCATTCCCAGGTGACTGGGACAATAACCTTCCCTCGGCCCAACTCAAACAAATACTCCCCGGAACTCACAGCTCCTTTTATTGCCAACCGTTGTATAGAAGTGCTTCCTTACGATACGTTTTTATTATAGTTTTATATCATCATTTAGCTTTTTGAGGGTGTATGTCACTGCCTCTCCAGCTGACACATGAGCTCTCTGGGGGCAGAGACCGGGTCCCCTGTGCCTCTGTACTCACCACAGTGCCTTTCACACAGCAAGTTCAACACTGAGAGGAAATCAATAGGGAAGCGTGTGCAGTGACGTGGGTGATGTGTCCTCATCCCGGCAGCGTTTTCTAGTCGTTAGCTAGATGTCTTTTTCTAACGCTCACTTTTCCTCCATGCCCACTGATCTCACCAAATCCCTGGCCCCCACTGGGCAGCCCAAGCCAACACAGAGCACAGACGGGTGGCCCTCGGCAGGGGTTCGTCTTTCACTGATCCACCAACTCAGGGCAGAGCCCGCAGTAGGTTCTCAGAACAGATTTGTTGCATTTAACTACAAAAAATGGCTTATTTTACTGGTCATCTCTGGCCTTTGTTCCGCGGACAGGAACCACCTCTCGGCCGGGAGTGGGACATTGGCCCTGATGCCCAGGTGCGCGCCTCCGAGGACAGTCCCTGGCCACTGCCAGCATTTAAGTGGCTGAGGGTGTCCGCCTGGGAGAAGAAACACACCTCCACAGCTTCTCTTCATTTTCACTTGTATCTAAATAACCTGACTCTGCTCGAAGGTGAACAGAACAATAAGAGAAACCAGAGGTGTAGGGGCAGGTGGCACCCTCCTGGGGACAAAGTGCTGACAGATTGGAATAAACCAACAAGTCAGGTGACCACCATCTCCCCAAACTATCACATGCTTCTTTGTTGACTTTCAAGAAAGAAGGAGGAAATCCCAGTGTTGTCATGGTGAATTAAGTTCATGTGCTTACCTCTCCTCCTTTCCCAAATATCAATAAAGTAACCAAAGAAAAGAGTCACCGCTCTGTCTATCCTCCATTCCACCTATACTTTTTGAATGGCTTCTGTGTGCAAGATCTGGGTCTAGGTGCTAAAATAATTTTAAGTCCTATTCAGAAAGAGAAACAGGGGAAGAGGATGCGATATAGAATGGTGGATGCATGGGGTGGCCAGTATAGATGGGGTGGTCACAGAGGACCTTCCCGAGGAAGAGACACCACTGCTGAGTGAGACTTGAATGAGAAGAGAAGCCAGCCATGTGAGGGTCTGGGGAAGGGGTCCAGGAACAGAGAACAGGCAAGAGTCTGGCATTCAGTGAAACAAAACAAAACAAAACAAAACAAAATATAGTATGTCAAAGTAAAGAAACTTTCCCTTAGCAGATGACACACTATGAGAAATTGCAGGAAGGTGTGAAGCAGATGAACTGAACTGGTGACAACTGATTGAGAGCTGCTTATAGTTTCAGTGGGTCCCTTTGAGAAGAAGTAACTGGGTGTCCCCAACACAAGCCAGGGACAACCCCAGGCTCTGAGCAGCAAGACTGCTCAAGAAGGTAGACGCTGTCGGCGGGCACTGGACAGGGGGCATGTGAAGGAAACTGAGACATGAAGACCGTGGTCTCCACATGGCAGAGAGGTCTCTGAAGCCAAGGGGCGGGGGGTTGCTTTCTGGCCAGCTTCAAATACGGGCAGTAAAACCAGGGTAGTGCCGCTGTAACCAAGGGGCGGAACAGCAGATATGGGGGAGAAGGCACTTCAGCCAAGCTGGGAGACTTCTAAAGACATGCTAGCTTCTTCCTGTTCCTCTTGGCTTCTGCAGATCTAACCAGGTTCCTCTAAGATCCCTCAGCAGAAGGAAGAGTGGACTTGCTGGGGAGCACTGTACAGAGAAAACTGAGGAACGTCAGAAACCCCATCAGGGCTTGGGAGCAGAGCGCTTGGCTGCAGGGATGTCATTAAGGGAAGATGCGGCTCTGCTACTCAGGGACCCCTGCGGCCACCAGCCCCACTCTGAGAGAGGGCCCAGTCTTTCAGTCTGTTTGTGGACCACAGAGCCAGGACCTGGAGAGGCACATTTACCTGTGCCCTTCTATTAATACACTCAGGTGAAGTCACAAAAACTGCTCCGAGGAGAGCCTGCTGGGGAGGAACTCTGTGAGACACACCAGGAATTTTCAAATTGTGCTGTGCCTCAGAAGTGCCTAGAATGCTTGCTGAAAACAGATACCCAGAACCACCCCAAGGGCATCTGTATTTTTAGTGAGTATCCTAGGTGGTCCTGACGCGCCCTGTGTTTTGAGAACCAGTGACCTGCACCATTGCTGAGAGAGCTCTCACCAGCTCCTGGCACAATCCATCTGGACTGGGGCTGCACATGAGAATCACTTGGAGAGACAGTAACAAAACAAAACAAAACAAAACAAAACAAAACAAAACAAAACAACAAAAAAAACCAATGCCTCACTTCCAGAAATTCTGATCATTGGTCTGGGGAGGGAACTGGGTGAAGTTTGCTGTTGTTCCCCGCCCCCGCCCCGAGAAATGCTGCCTGTAAATCAAACACATAGCCAAAGGTGAAAGTTAAGACCTTCATTTATGAAAACCTGCAGTCCCCCAAATTTCTGGGTGTATGAAAAGATCGATCTGCTCCGGACAGTGATTGGAGTAAAGAAACAATGACTAGAAACAAAACTTCTCTGATCAGCAACCCCCGCCTCCACCCCGCCCCCCCGCCCCGCCCAAACAGGCTAAGCTGCAGGCATTGAGGAGAAAAATGTAAAAAACAAATCTGTGTCCACCCTCAGGGGGATGCAAGGGGATAAACACCAGCAGAACAGAGCAGGCGACTGAGAGTCCAGGAAATTGTAAGAATTCCTAGAAATGAAAAGCATGATTGTCACCACCCCTCCCAACATTCAGCAGGGAAAGGAAAACTCATTAAAGTATAAAAGTCACAGAATGGACATCATTGAAAACAAAACTGGTGACTCTGAAGAGTAATTCAAGGAATTCTATCCTCGACTATAGAATAAAAAGGGTAATAGAGAAAAGATAAGAGACACAGTGGCTCCATCCCAGAGGCCCCACAATCCCTACAAAAGGGCTTCCTGAAAAAAGAAGACAGAATGGAAAAAAGCGTAGCAGTGATTTAAAAAACAGGAAGAAAATATCCTGAGTTAAAAAAGATTTAAGTTCTGATTCTTGGATTAGATTAGAAGGAACGACCTAGGGCATGTTTATTTATTAAAAAGTCAGGTCCAGAGAACTTGATATATATTTATCTTCGAACAACTTAGTAGCTATATTTGAAGTACATAAAAATTGAAAGGACAATGAATATATGTACTTCATTCTTAAGCAAACACACTTGCGCAATTGAGCACTGAACATCTTAAACTTTGGAATCCGATTGGACCCTGTCACCCTTGTTTCCGGTTCCATGTTGACTTTTGTACAGTACTTGCTTTTTAACACAGCCAACTGCTCTGAAAACCCAGATTTACAGAGATACGACATCACGGGAGGGAATGGAATGGGACCCAAGGTCGAAAACAGTGAACGATATTAACCAGGAGCTTATGCAGCACCTGACACATCATGCATCCTTGCGTTTCCCTCAAAGATTGAGACGTTTCTGCAGTGCCCCTGTGAGGTCCCTGCAGTGGCTCAGGGCGCCCTGGTGCAGCTGGGGAACCATCGCATTAGACACTAAACAAAGCTCTTTCTAGAAAATGAGATTAGGTTGGAGGAAGACAGAACTTCCTTCATTATGTATATGTGAGTAGTTTAAAATTTTTATAATAAGAACCTATGACTTTTACTATTTTTTATAAAGTTTTCCCATTTTAACAAAAGAATCAAAAAAAAAAAAAAAAAAAAAAAGCAAGCGTGACGACAAGGGAGAGACGCGTAAACACCCGAGGGGCAGAGTGGCCGAGGGGCCCAGGCACACGCAGCCGCAGACTTGTCTGTGCGTTTCCTTCTGTCATTGGGAGCTCAGTCCCGTCCCTCTGGGCTCCGGCGCCTCAGCCAGGAAGCAAACACACAGGCTTCCCTCACGGGTGAGAAGCTCCAGGAGGGAGTCATCCCTGCAGGTGACTCCAGAACAGTGATGAAAACCCTGGCTCTGGAGCCCTCTGTCTGGGTCCAATCCCGACTCTGCCGCCTATTCACTGTGTGACCTTGGGCAAGTTGACTAACTCCTCTGTGCTTCAGTTTCTTCATCTGTTCAGTAGGGAGAATAATGGTGTCTACTTATTGTGGGATTCCATGTAAGACACATATCATGACTGTTGCTACTGTCATATGTGTGTGTGTATAAAACTAATTGGCCCATAGATTCTTTCCCTCTGGCCATCAGAGCTAGGAAATGCGAGGGACCATCCCTGTCGTCATGACATCCAAAGGGCCAGGGAGAGGGCAGAGGGAAGGCACAAAGGAACCACACAGAAACCAAACTACGAGCAGGCAGAAGCCACGAGTAAGCAGGACTCAGTGGGGAGGTTACTTGAGGGGTTTCTGTTCAAGTGATACAGTCAGATTAAGATAGGCGACCATGCAATCTTAGAATCTCAATTCTTTCCCACATCTCTCCCACTCCCAAATGTTGTTGTTATTATTATTTTACCTCCTCTCCATGTCCCATAAAGCGGTGTCGTCACTGACCCAGGGGTTGGACGGCTCGGCCGGCGTTATCAAGGGATCATATTCCACATACTGCTCCGTGTAAGCAATTAAGCTGCAGGGGGAAGCAGAGCAAAGGACGCCGCTGACTTCCTGTGAAAACTTTTATTCTGGTTCACACCAACATTCTCAGTCTTATTATACTTCTAAATTAAAAGGAAAAAATTACCACCACTCCCACTTTTGACAAATTGAACTGTTTTCGTTTGCCCTTGTCCCCTTCTCATTTGAACGCGCCCTTTTGCATCACTGCAGTCACAGAATATGGACGAACTTTGTGTCTTTTCCCCACTTACTGTTTCCCTGAACCTGGACGCCTCCCTCCCCGGTTAGCTAGCCTTAGGGGCACACGGGCCCAAACCCGCTTGCGTATCGCTCTCTGAGGGACAGGGGCTGCAGGCCTTGAGGCGGCTGGGATACCCGGAGGGCGCTGCAGGCGGCCCAGCTCCCGGCCCAGCACCCCCAGCTGGGGGCTTTCTCACTGTAAAGGCTTTCGAATCCTGGCGACTGCAGCCGTTAGGATGTTCTAAGCATTTTTCCAAAAAGCCACTTAGTTTTTCTAGCTATCATGTAAATAGCCACATAGTCTTTGTAAGCAAAATTTAATCAAAGTGCATGGATATAGTTGAAACAATAAAATAGCACTAAATGATTTTCATGTACAAAGAAAGCAATAGCAATGCTTTTATTTCCTCCTTTCCCTTCTGACAGGGGCGTATATCCACTTTCTCCATTTCCAGGTAAATTCTTTTTAGCATTTACTTGGGTATTTTAAATTATATGGTTTTATACCTGTTCTTCATTATCAGCTTTAGATGAGCATTTAACTTCCTGCTCACGAGTCCCCATTGACTCCCATGATCCTCCAAATAGACTTCTGTAACAATTTTTGTTAAATCAATAGTCAGTGTCCACATTACTGAACTAGTTGTTTGCTGCTGAGCAAAGTGAGCAAAGGAACACTTATTTCAAGTGTTCCTACAAATCTGTAAAACATCTAGTGGTAATTTTTCCATACCTTAAACACATCAGGTAATCGATCAGTTCTGTCCCCTGTCCCCAAAGTGTTGAGTCCTCTTGCTCCAATGTGGACTGTTTGCTCTATAGGCTTTATGCAACACCATTGTCCTGGGACTTCCTTCATGTTTGTGTTGAAGCCCCGTTTCCTGGATTCCATGTCTGCCTATTGGTTTTACCCGCTGGTTGTGCTGAAGCACATGCACATTCTTTAATGGACGTAACAAAGAAGTATAGTGCTGGACATGGAACCCAGGGTTGAAACTAATTTACTTTCCAAATTTTGAAGGCACTGCTCTAATGTATTTTTTTTTTCTGGCTATTGAGAAGTCTGGGTCCATTTTGATTCTAAACAGTTTCTTTTCTCTTTGGAAACATAGAATCTTCTCTTTATTGATACAGTGCTCTGAAATTTCACCATGATCCTTGCTCGTTGTTTTTGGTTCAATGTGCTAGGTACAATATGCAATATATTTCTCATAAATATTATTTCTTTGCTAATGCCATACCATTTATTTTTTTCTTTCTATAATTCTTTTTATTTACATACTGGACATCTTGACTTGATTGATAATCTAATTTTCCCTCTCATTTTTCATCTTTTTGTCTTTTTGTTTGACGGTTCTTCCAAACTTTATTTTTTTAATTTGAGCTATCATTTTCTTAAGTTTCCAGAGTTTATCTTCTTTATCATAGTATCTAGTTCTTGTTTTATGGATGGAATATCTTCTCATACTTCTGAGGATATTATTCTTTATTTTTATTTTCAGTTTCTTCTGTTTCTTCAGTAGTTTCTGGTTCCTCCAAGTCCCTTCTTTTGTTTTGTTTGATTACACTCTTTCACGCTGGAGTTTTCCTTGGGTGTCTGGAAAACCCCTGGACATCCATTTGTGCTTAAGAGTGAGGCACTGAAACCTGCCTGGAGGCTCTGTGTGTGTGTGTGTGTGTGTGTGTGTGGACAGGACCTCCCCACTGATGGGCTTCGTTGTTGGGCCACTGGGTGGCTTGCCAGTCTTCCCACTAGAGCTCAAAACGAGGGATCTGGCATCTTTCCTCTGGGAACATGCTGTTCTCTCTAGAGCAGGGATAGGCAAACTTTTTCGGGAAGACCCAGATAATAAATATTTTAGGCTTTGAGGGCCAGATGGTGTCTGTTCAACTCCTTTCTTACTTTTCTTGTAGCACAAAAGCAGACTTAGGCAATTCTTAAATGAATGCATGTGACTCAATTCCAGTGTGGCTCAGTTGGTTGGAGCATCATCCCATTAACTGAAAGGTTGGGGGTTTGATTCCTGGTTAAGGCACATGCCTGGATTGTGGGTTTTGTCTCCAGTCAGGGCACATACAGGAGAGGCAACTGATAGATGTTTCTCTCCTTCTTTCTTTCCCTCCCTTCCTGTCCCTCTAAAATCAACAAGCATCCCCTTGGAAGAGGATTAAAAAAAACTAAACAAAACAGGAAGAGGGCCCAATTAGAAAGGGAAATGAAAAGCAGAGGAGCATCGCAGAGAGGAAAGAAGAAAGTTCAGTTCTCATGAATTCATTAATCTAATTTGTTTTTCACACTGTAGAAGGTGGGGGGGGGGAGAAAATATAAAGAAAGAAATCCTTAATTGCAGGTCAATCAGAGACAATATATTCAATAGAGACTCTCAGGTTGAGTGAGGGACGGGAAGGTGAATTCAGCCCCTTGGAAAGAAGAGCATATGCCAGGTCAGGTATAGCAGCCCTTCCCGATCACCATCTGAAGACAATCTCGCTGGCTATAATGTTACCTCTGGTCTTTTCTATTCTGTCACCTAAAATGGATTGGGAGAAAAGAGAAGCAAGAACCCCTCAGTCTCTGGAATCCCATAAAAGCAAAGTTGTAATGACCTCTTTGGCTCCTTTTTTTTTTTCCCTTCCTTGAAACTATCATTAGACATTAAGTTCACAGACTTCTATCAGCCTAGCAGTTTTTTAATAGACCCTTAGGGTATGCAGTCCCTTGCTGTCTTATCTCATTTTATTAATTACATTTCATGATCACGGAAGGTCAGGAGGCAGAGGAGGAAACAGCATCCAATTTCAGGGAGCAGCAGTGATCTCAAGATGGGCAAGATGATGATAAAAAATCAATTCAGCTGCCAGCTGTGATGCACCGATGCTCCCAGCGAAGGGTAAGGACAAGCCAAGCACAGGAGCAGATATACAAGGACATAGCTTGGTCTCTCTGTGTGTGGCAGTGTGGTGTGATTCCTGCAGTGACCTGCTCAGGGTCACTACAGGTGGGGACAAGTCTCTGGGGACACCCAGCAACGCAGAGACTTTCCAGAACATTTGGAACTGAAATGTGGATTTTTGCATTCTCAAAGTTGGTTTGTCCAGTGCTATAAGGCTCGGGTGAATAAGGAGGGGGCTCCCTGAGGACTCTCACAAGGAAGAGTAAGACCTCTTTTACTGGGCAACGTTAATTGTTGAGAGAACATAGGTGAGCTCGGTGAGCAAAAAAGGGCCTCTTTTTACAATGAAATAAACTCTATACCTCAAGGCTCATTGTCTATGATTTGGAAGAGCACACCTCTCAGTGAAGACTCTTGCATTAGGATCAAGGCTAAGGAACTTGGTTATTTTGATCTCCTAGTGTAGTAGATCAATGTTAAAAAAAAAAAAAAAAGAAATCTGTTTCCTTAGCCCTTGAATCTGGTCTCGGCTCGTCACTTGCTTTAGCCAATAAAATGCAGCAGAAGTGGCCAAGTACCAGTTCCAAGCTTCAAGAGCCTGGACATGCTTCTGTTCTCTCTTGGGATCCTGCTGCTCCCATGTGAACAAGTCAAACTAACCCGTTGGAGGATGAGAGACCATGTGAGGAGAGCCCAGTTGTTCCAGCTGAGGTCATTTTAAACCAGCTGAAGCCAAACATGTGAGAAAGCCCAGCCAAGACAGCAGCTGGGAGCCCAGCAGAGGCAGCTGGCACATAGACACATGAACAGCAGTAAGTTGCCAATTGTTTGAAGCCATTACGTTTTTTGAGGTGTTTTGTTACGCAGCAATAGCTACCTTCTACACATGGCCTGCCACAGATTGGCAATGGGAATTGCTAAGGGAGCATGAAGGGCCACTGGAGAAAAGTAGGTTGACAGGAACAAGAATACAAACCAACAACTAAAAAGCAGAAACAGAGACTCAAAGGATATAATGGTCTGGGGCCATTTGGGGAAAGGGAAGCAGTTTGTGGCACTTTTAAGACCCTGACCACTGACAGAGTTGTAAAGTACCCCGAGTCATCCAGAAAAGTGAACTGAAATGTGTGTCCTTTCTTTAAGAAGGCAAGCGCATGAACCACAATGAAGACAGATTCTCGTTTACAATAGTGCCAATAAAGAGCTTAAGCTGTTAAGCGTTATTTATCTGGAGAATTCATTTGTGTGTGCAGGGATCGTAGTTCCTGAAGTAAAAATTAGGTAACACCTCAGACTGGCTTTTGTACTGTTGTTTCCAGCTATAAAAGGCAGCCTAGGAAATGTAGTTTTGTTGCCATGATGTTGGCATTTTGGAAACATTTAACCACTCACAGGGACAATGGGGCAGAACAGTTGAAACTGAGAGGACCTGAGAAAATCTGTGTAGAACAGCCCGCCTCTTCATGCACGGCCCCACCTTCCCCAAAGGCAGCACATTATTGCTGCCACGGGAGGCAGCCAAGGGGGACAGACATGCAGATGGCAGGGCCAGCCGTAGGCAGCATGTGGGGCAGGCTCTCTTTAGGACATTGAGAAAGAGGGAGGGAAGAACTACATTGGCACAGAGCTGCCACCTGCAGGTCCAGCCTCACTCCTCAGTTTGCCCTTCTGTTTGTTCCTCAGAATTCCATACACCCAGTTCATTCTGTCTCATGCCCCTGAACTTGCGCCTTTCCACAGCACTGTTTAGCCCCACACTGCAAAGTGATAATAATCACTCACATTCATTGTCTGTGTAGTTAGTGCCAAGGACGGGACCAAGCTCACATCATGGGTCAACTCAGTAAACCTGCAAGTTAAGTATTACTGCTCTCTCCCTATTAAAGAGGCAGGATCCAAGCCCAATAGCTGGCTCACACCCAGCCCCCTAAACTGGTCCGTTCTGCCCCTTTAGTTTGCAGGGTTCCCTTGTTCCCTCCCTGACTGGGCCTGGCTGCACCCTGTGAGCCAACCCCAACTCTTGCCTTTTTAGGGCTGGACTATCACAACACCAGTACGCCCACCTCTCCCAGCATCAGTGCTCAGGGAACCGAGGGAAAAGTGGGGTGGACTTGTTCTCAGGGGGGTGAGGCCCTTTTCCTGATGGCTTCTGGCTAATTACCACCGCTTCCCTGCGGGGGGCCGGGAAACCAGATTCTGCAAGGGGATGCCTGTGCCCACCTGAGACAGCTCAGCTTCTACCTCTGGTGAGCCGAGCAGTCTGCACCCAAGGCCAGTTGCCCACGCCACCCCCCTGCTCCACCTCCCTGCTCCCCATCCCAGCAGAGCCCCCCACAGACCAAGGCTCCAAGCTGCTTTATCTCCTCCTAACACCCGCTCCTCTCCCTCCTCCTCCCTATCTGGGAGTTTCCTGGTGGCTCTAATGAAAAAACCTTGTGTCACATTGAAAAGTTGCCAGTTATTGCTGCTGGGAATAAAATCCAGCCTCTGCTAGGCGGAGAGACAAGAAAGCTTCAAACTGGGGAGGGAGGGGCGGCTGGCTGGGATAATCTCTTCAAGGTGAGCAGTCTCTCCAGCATAATGAGGTGGCACCAGGCAGGGCCCCTCCCTGGCAGCAGGAAAACAAACAGCGGACCCTGCCAGGCTCCCTTCCCTCCTTGTGGCCGTCTCTCTTCCCTGATTAGCCCACCAGCCCCGAAGGCCTCCTTCCTGCTGACTGGATCAGGCTCTTTCCGCACACCCCAAGTGTTATTGTAGGTATTTAGCAAGAAAAGAAAAGCAAAGGAACCGGACATTGAGCTTAATACACTGAGAAGCAGGACCCAGGAAGCAACAGCTTCACACCCCAGGGGGTTACAGCAGTGCTCCAGCAAGGTAATAACACTCTTCCCTCCCCACCTCTGGAACCCAACTGTTGGATTGTTTGGGGGAGTACTGCAGGGGGAGGGGTGCCGAGCCATAGAGGCCTGTCAGTCTCTGTGGGGAATGGACCCCATCCAAAGCCCATGGAAACCTGGGAAGTTGATTGGTCATTTTGAGAAAGTACCTGGTCTAACCCAAACGGACGCTCCTAGTCATAACCCCCTGGGAACAAAGAAGCTCGCCCTCTTGCCTGTGACTCACACTCACGTGGTGTACACACCTGTTCTCTCACGGCCTCCAAGAGGGAGCCTGAGCACCGCAGCACAGCAATAGACTGCAGCTGGAAACACATGCTAAGCCAGCCGGATGCTGGACTGCGCTGGGCTTTAATGTGGAGCACATATTCTGCACAGTGGCCTTCATCCTGGCCCTACCAAAGACAAGATTGGACTTCTTCCATGGCAAGATAGATGGAGATGGGACATCAGAAAGTCAGGAGGGGAACCCCCTAATTGTACATCATTAATAAACCATACCACAGAGTCACATCCTCCTGTGCAGGTCTCGGGAAATTCTTTTCCTTTAGACACTGCAAGAGCCCCACTTCCACCATAACACAAGGATAAGGCTGGCCGTCCCTTCTGAGGTGAGCTCTAAGGTTAGTCTAAGCGGTAGACAACGGCTTCACCTAATCCTCAGAGACCTGGTCACTCCACTTGCACATTATTACAAAATGCAGCTTCCTTAGATCTACCTGGAACCACTGAATCCAGAGCCCTAGAACTAGGGGTTAGGGATCTCCATTCTTCACCCCCCGCCCCCACCAGGGTCATCACGCTCAAAAACCACTGGACCCGAGCAACGAGCCCCCAGGAAGGATACTCTCACATACACTCCCCTGAGACTGCGAACTCTCAGGTGCCCTTTGGAGGCGGGCATTGCTGGCACGGCCCCTCACAGTGCACCAGGACGGCCGTCCCTGTCCTCATTCACAGAGAAAGCAGCTCACGATTCCTCACACACCAAAGAAATCGAGGTCGTCCCAGCTATGTCACCCACCTTCTGGGCCAAAGGCAACCACGGTGAGATTTAAAAAGCAATTTTAGACTAGGTACCCCAAAGCCCTACTTTATGATAGTGGAGTGAGGAGACGCCATAGTTTACAGAGTTGGCTGAAACTGCGACTCGAGAACACAAGGTCTCCGTGTAAGCTGAGCTCTGGCCACGGCCACCTCCTGAGGCTTTTGCACCAGGGGAAAGAGCGATTCTCAGTGTGAGCGGCTTTGCCCCCCAGGGAACATTTGGCAATATCGGCAGACATGTTTGGTTGTCACAATGGTGAGGTGGACAGAGGTCAGGGATGCTGCTAGACATCCTATAATGCACAGGACAGTCTCCTGCCACAAAGAAATATTCAGCTCAGAATGTCAGTGGTGACACCATTGAGAAATGCTGGGATAGATATGAGATGCCATCAAAGACATGAACCCAGATTCAGGGATGTCCTTGGCCACCTGAGGGCAGAGTGCTAATTCAGGTTTTGGGTTTTGGAGAAAGGTTTTCTTAGCCTCAGGCTGTTATTTACCTAGAAGGAAGGGACCAGCAGACAAAGGCCCACAGGTTAAGCACACATCCAGCCCTCTGCGTGAGTTGGGCTTAAAGACCAACTTTACTCTCATAGCCAATGAATACTAGGGTCTGACTTAAGCCCTCGATCCTTCAGATATCGGTCATCACTTTCACAGGAGCTCATAAGCAAAAAAGTGTTCAGTTTGCATGCTGCCTGATCAGATTTATTCCATACAGATTCCCCAGGTGGTCTCCCCTCTTCACTGAGAGTTCAAAAACAGGCCATTTAGTTGACAAAATTGAGTCTCCCACGAGTTAACGGAGTGGAACCAGCTCCTGGTGCAGATTGCAGCACAAACGCTGTGCGGAAGCCAGGCTGGAGGTGCCAGATATTTTCTTTACAGTTGATTCGATGCAGTTCAGTGGTTGATGGTGTGTGGAGGCGGAACGCCTCCCGATGGCTCAGTCCCCTCCTGTTTGCATGGCTGGCACACAATTTTTTTCCCGCTATAAAGTGAATCTGGGTGTTTTATTGCTGAAAAGGGAGCCATTCCATTTAAATTAATCAAGGGGCTGAAGGCAAAAGAATATGTAGCTTTTAAGGACATTTGACCTTGATTGACAAGGTCCTGAAAAGCTTCAGCAGCAGGACATTTCTCGACATCGTTCAGGGGAGGTCTGCTGTCTTAGTTGTGCATATGCATTTGGGCCCTGGGGTTCTTTCACCCATCAGTTTAAGGAATGCCTACGGTCTGCCTCTCGACATGGTACACACTTATTATCCATGCCCTGTAACATTTCTCCTTGGTTAAATTATTAGAAGAAAGGAGTGATTTTACTGAGGGGAAACCTACCTTTCAGCCACTTTTGACATTTTTAAACAATGTCTGTCAATCTGTGCATTCAAAAACGTTATCTGGGGAAAGACATAACAGAAATAGAGATGTTAAGACCAAACTAGAATTTCTTTTTCCCCTTTCATCCCGGGAATCCGAATCCTGTATTTCTACCAAGATCCTAACACTTCCTATGGACAGACTTCAACCTTCCAATCCTGCACTACAGCAACCCTTTTGCCCTTTGGAAAATTCCTACCACCGCTGGGATTCACAATTTAGCCTCTGTCATATATTCTCCAGTACTGTGCTATAGCTTAGGTCTTGATTCCCAAAAGCGGTCGCAAACTTGAAGGCGGTGTCTATTCTACAAAGCTTAGCAACAGCGTGGACAGGTAATACGCACACTGCACCACGTGGTTTGAGTGATCTCCAGTGCTCTTCGTCGGCACACCTTTGATACCTACATCATGCCCATGTGCTCGTATACCTGACTAGAATCATCAAATAGCTATTTCACATACATCTGTTTCCTCATTCTCACCCAATAATAAACTTGTCAAGGGCAGGCACTTAACAGTTTACTCCTTGGGGTGTCCCCCCCACCACCAAGAAGCCAATAAAGTGTAATGTAAGGTATAGACTTAAAGTTGCTTTATTATCAGTGAACCTCAGAAAGGAGTAATGTAATCGGCTATTGTCTCCTAACTTGGGTTGACCAGTTAACCCTTTATCATAACCATAACATTCAACCAAATGATGATGAAATGGCTTTGGGAGTGGAGCTTACTTTATTCATAAACTGTCCTTTTATATCACAGCAATAAGTCAGTGGTCCTGGACTAGCTTACTCTGGAACCACGTTACAACTTTATTAAGAACCCTGTAACATGAGCCCCTCCTTGCTCCAGCTCCTGGGGAGACCCAGCTATAGCTGTCACCCCATGGCATTGGGGTAACTCATTTACATCCTTCTCTCATAACTGCTGGAGGGACTCGGTAGAGAATTTTCACTCTCAGGCTTACATGGGTTGTTCACACGCAGCGCTCAAAGGTTCAAGTCACCCATGGTTGGGTTGCACTGCAGTTTCCAGGAACTCAAAGCTGACTTAGCTTTCAGGGGTGAATCCTGAAAGGGTTTTCAAACTTGCCACATCTCCTCCTGGGAGGGTGGGAGTCAACTCACTCACCTGTTTCCGGATGTCCTCTTTTGTAGTTTTCCTGACTGGCTGACTGGGTATGTGCACAGGGCTCTGCGACTGGGACTCTTCTGTCACCCCGTACACTGACTAGAGAAGAAGCAAGAAGATAGAATCATGCACCCTCGAGTTGAAGGGGGCCCTTGAGGCAAGCCAGCTCAACCACTCATTCAATGCTTCCAATCCCTTGATGACATCCCAACAATAAATGATTGGCTCTGCTGGAATTTCTCCAGTAATGGGAACTCTGTCTCTGAGGCAGCCCTGTCCCCTCTGTGGGTTGCCACTGCTAGAAAATCCTTCCTTTTACTGAGCTGATACGGTCTCCTTGTATATCAGTGTTTCTCCAGACATGGTCCATAGACCATCTGTGAAGGATTGCCTGAGGACACCTGGTAAGGATGCACATTGCCAAGCTCCACATGGACCTAAAGAGTCAGAATCTTTGTGGGTGGGGCTTAAGAATCTGTACTTTTCTCAAATGCCCCAGGTGATTCTGAGACACAAGATAGTTCAAGAATAATTGCTGAAGATTATGCACAAAGACCTCTAGATTCTCTGTTGGCCTGCAGATGACATGCCCATCTGGACAAAGTTGAGATGGCAGAGTTTCAGGTTTTGCGTGCTTTTAAGTCTTCTGGCCTCAGTTTTTCCACATGCCCACCCACAGGTATGGCTACTTTTTAAGCAGCTCCTTGTGTTAGAGACAGACTAAAGATGATTTTTGCTTTGGGAAAGAAACAAAACCCCAAAGGGTATAAAATACATAACTGAAATCAAGAAGGGCTCAGATAGGGTAGACGTGGGCTCCTTGAAATTCTGGAATAAAATTCTAATATAATTAGGGGGCCCTTAAAAATGAAATGAAACCATTTTAAGAATATCAAATATAATACGGTGGGCATCACTCTTTCAGTGAAGGCTAAAATGTATAAGTAGATTCAAGAAGTTGATATGTATGTCATATCACATATATATATGAAAAAATGAGAGGATGGGTCATCTGGGGACCCGACTCTAACCTTTTAAAATTATTGTTATGGAGGACAGACATGTTCCTGCACAATATGGTCCCTGGTGCTGTTGTGAGAGCGGGGTGCCCTGGCCGTGGCGCAGACTGAGTGTGGCACTCTTGGGCATGCCGTGGTCACTCCCCTTTCATATAGGGAAACACAGGTGATCACTGGCTCATTCACAGTTGGGCAAGGTGGTGATATGAGTTTGGATGACCTACCCGTACTAAAAGACTTTCAAGTATTGTAATAAGCTCACTTTCATGTGTGGGATTTTCATACTTTTTGTCCCTTTAGTTTCCTTTCCTCCCTGCCGCCTCCCCATAGCCAACTGCTGCTCACCCTTGAGACCCCTGCACACTGGCACTAGCTTTGGAAACGCTAGGGAAGCCCCAGTCGGGCGCCCCCTGCTGGCACTCCATAACCATCCTGTACTTCCCCAATGCAGTCTCCTGTGGGCTTGTTTCACCCCTGCCAGGCTGTGGGCTTTGTGAAGACTGTATTTCAGGAGCAGGAAGAGTGCTAAGCATGCAAGCCACTCCACAAATATTTGTAGAATAAATGAATGAAGTGTTTTTAAAGGATACAATGGGGTAGAATTAACAAACAGCAAATTATTGTCCCAACAGTGTCAGAAGTGGAAGGGCCATTCCCATCAAGAATTTTTAATTCAGCGAAACTAGCCAACCTTTTTAACTTTTTGCGGGTTCTTCAAACGTCGACATTTTCTGATATCCATTTCTGTGGTGTTCACACAGCCTGGCTGAAGAAAAAAAATCATCACATAAATTACTGAGTCAAAATCACCCTTCCAACTTAGCCCAAGTGACATCATCAGAAACAATCTTTATTTTTCCCATTACATATACTGCATGATTATCTCCACTTGCCATTTACAATTTTTTTTTTTACAAAGATGTGAAAGTGTTCCTCTGTAGAGTTCTCATATCAAATATAAAAGCTTACTTATCTCAGGATGATATGTATAGCGCACAGTTTATATGAGCAAACTTATTCTTCAAAGTGACAAGGTCGCCTCAGTCACAGCCTTTGTTATTTCACGTATCTAACCAACTAAAAGCACTCCGATATCAGGACGGGGAATTATTTCTTTAATTTTGCTCTTAACCAGCTTTTAGGAAGGCTAAAATAGTTTATTCGTTTTAGTCCCATTTCATGAGGGAAATGCAAGGTTTGTTTTAGTCATATGAGATTAGAAATATGCTCCGACATCGTTACTCATGGATTTCAATTTGTGAATTTGCCTACCTGCTCAAACTTATGTATACCCCCTAAGTCAATACTTGGGGTGCATTCGTGGCCATTCATGGACATTTACAGAGCCACAAAATATATGAGCGGCCCAATGTGCATGTTCTGCTGAGGTTGAATAAGGTGACGCTTTGTCTTCTTGTTTCAACTCGATACTGTAAATAAGTGCCCTTTTCAAGGTCTATTTAGTGGAACTATGCTCATTTCTGTGTTTTTTTTGTTGGTGATTTTGTTGTGTAAAATGGCTCCCAAGCATAGTGCTGAAGTGCTGGCTAGTGGTCCTATGTGTCTTATGGATAAAATTCATGTGTTAGATAAGCTTCACTCTGGCATGCGACAGAGTGTTGTTGGCTGTGAGTTCAATGTTAACGAATCAACAATATATATTAAGGCACCTTTAGACAGAAACACACATTAAGTAAGGTTATGCATTGATCAGTTGATGTAATGGTTCAAATCAGTGGTTCAGCTGTGGTTCAGCATTCGTTGATTCAGTGTTTGCAGCCATTTTATGGAACATAACTGCGAATAATAAGGATCAGCTGCACCTGAAATAGAATATTCTAAGACTTAAGAGCTCAACAACAGTAAATATGGAGATTGCTTATTTTGCGACTGTAAATCTCTGGGGCCCAAGAATCCCAGGTGGAATTCCCACAGCTCCTCCAATTCTGACTCTATATTTTCAAGGATGGATAATTTATAAAAGGTAGAACTGACATACATTCCAGAAAATCTACGGAGATTATATGAATGAATGGCAAAGCCATTTCACAAACCTTAGCAATTTTCTTAAGAATGAGACATCTGGTGGCTAAAGATAGTCATTTCTTTCAAGTGAAGGAATTGGGAATACAAGAATATCTAGAGAACCAAGCAGAGCTTTCTCACCACTGGCCTGTGGACATCCCAGAAAGCCCGTTCTTGACTATCCAAAATTTTCCTTTCCGTCTTGTCCTTTTTCCGATCAATCCTGAAAGAGAGAAGGAAAGAAACGGGATGCTTTTGTATTCTGTGTCCTCTCTTGCCAGGAGCTGAGCACGCACAGGACAATGGGCACCTTTGTGGTCCTTGCTCTGTGCAGAGGGGTAAAGTCCAGGTGCACAAGTCCCTCAGGGAAACCTCAAGAAGTGCACATGAGGTGAGAGAACTTGTTTTAGGTTAGACTGCTAATTCGCATACATGGGTAATGAACATGTGGGCCCAAGGGGAGCACAAGGATGCACCTGTCCATTCGCATTATTAAGAGCTAGATTATTAAGAATGGAATCATCCATTGACATGCTCCCCCACCCCCATCAAAGTAGATACTCAAATAGGAAGGAACAACCATAGGCTCACAGTGTTTCATATCCGCATTTGAAAGTTAGCTTTAGATTCAGAGTTGGTAGAAAGTATCTTCAAAATGCTGCAATTATGTGTTTTAAGAGTCACTTAAACCATCTGGCTTTCTAAAAGCAGAGTAATAGCCCTAGCGTGTGACAAGATTCAGAAGGCAAGTATCACGGGCCTCAGCTGGAGGAGGCACAAATTGCAAGAGGGAGATCGCAGGTGACAAAGACAGATTCTATGTGCTGATCGGGAACTAGATAAGAGGCTTTAAAAGAAAAAAAGCCTGTATTACTTCATATCATCTCTCTAAGTAAAAAGTAACTCAGATTAATTGTCGAGTAACCTCTGGTTCTTGGCTCTCTTGGGAGCACTTTAGTTTACTGGACTGAAATAAACCCATAATCACCGTGTGATTTTTGTGATAATTACCATGCACTTAAATGGCCCACAATTATAATGTAATCACAGAGTTAATCAAAAAAGTTAATCAAGAAACACCATATATGTACAAAGTGACAATCTCCTCTCCTCTTACAACATGTCATGTTGCGTGATTCTCAAAGTACAAATTAGCTCTCCTCTTTGCTTCCCAGTGGCTTCTGAGTACACAGGCTCGATTCCGCCCTTTTCTCACCTACTCACACAGCCTGCTTACACAGTCTGCTTTCTCCTTCCTCCGGGTCCTGGGCTCCTGCTGCAGCTCAGCACCCAGTGTCTGGGGCCCACCTCCCTCAGGGGCTGCTGGGAGCACCGGGGTGGGTGGCAGGTGACTGGAATCCCGGGACAAAGGCAGAGATTGCAAAGGGAGGGTGAGAGGCATGGCACTGTGCAGGCCACTGGGCCCAATGACCTCAAGTCATTTTTAAACATATCGGGGATCAGTGCTCACCCACTCAGCCTGAGACCTGGCCCTGCGCTCGGCTGAGACACTGCCCAGAAAATGCAAAGGGGGTCCCCTGAAGACTGGAAAGGGGGCTCTGCCCAGGGGAAAGGTACTTACCTTCTCCCAGCTCAGCATCCCTTTCCCTCCCCTCCCCTGAACCATTGCTTTTGTTGTCCCTCCTGGCTAACCCATAGACCCCTGGTGGAAAGGCTAAGAGGGAACCCGACCTGAGTAAGTCCATGTCCCAGAATTAAAAGGATCTGGTTGACAACCATGTGTGCGGGCTGGGGACACTCACTGCCCCCTCCTCCTGTTTCCTTAGGGAGAAGGGTATTTCCACTATATGGGAGGAAAAAATACGGGAAAAAAACGGACTTTTCTCCTTCTTTCATTTTTTGTCCTCTAGGGCAGGAAGAGTGACTTAACTTATTGGAGGATTTGAAAGAAGAAATTGAGCAGGCTCAGGTTGGTCCTTTCTGGATGCCTGTTGTCTGCATGCAATGAGCTTACTGGGGTCAACTCTGCCCTGGTCGGGACGCCTGCAGGCACCCAGCTCGGCCCAAGATGGGTAATTTAAATTCCAGGGTAGAGGCCTATGGCCATGGATCCACAGTCATGTACTATATATCTAGCTTTTATCAGTAATAATCTGATATTTGGGCCTCCAAATGTCTGACTTCTGTGCCTTACTGTTGATTGGTTCTGAATCCCTGGGTGGGGGAGGGCGGTGAAATTGGGTGAGGGGCTCCTTGTTGGCCTCTGTAAAACTATGTTTTCCTGTGAAGACAAAAATCTCTAGATCTACAGGCCTGATGTTTTTCAGCCTCTGAGCATAGAAGAAGAATCAAAAATCTCTTTGGGGAATAAATACATCTCATAACCAGAGTTCTACATTTGGGAGAAACACTCCTGTCTACTGGAGCACACATTTTTTAATTTACTTTAGAGTGCCATTGGTTACAAAGATGACCTTGATTTCTACTCAGTTGCTCGCATGAGAGACGACAGTGACTAACCACAGCCGGCCAGCCGTGGGGGGAGAACTCTGGCGGCCCCACACACACCGCCTCCAAATTCCAGAGACTTTGTCACTGTGCAAGGGTCTCTATTCAGTTCACCTACTTCACTTGGGCTTCTGCTTGCATAAAGATGAATTCCCACTTCCTCGCAAAGGCTCTCTGGAGTCTTGCTAAGTTTTCCTAATGAGAAATGAAAATGAACAAGAAGGCATTAATCATCGTAAGTTTGCACATCGACACTTATGCTTATTACAGGGCAACCATCTATTTTGGTTACTCCCAACAAAACAGCAGGGCTCCACTTTATATCCACTGGACATGAACCCAATTTGACTTTGCACCAGACCCTGCTGTATGGAGCAGAACTATTAATATTCATTCACATGCTCATTAAGTCAGAAGTCTCTGTGGTTCACCTGATTCCTCTCTTCTTGTGTGTTTTACAAGAACATAACTCATGCAGCACTCATCATAAAGGCTACTGAAGATAGGGTAAGTGGTCTGTGGCTATGCATGCAGGATTTGGGTAAGGGGCAAGGGAGTCTTTGCAACCTACTGGACATGTCCGGGAGCGAAACTAAGAATGCGTTTCTCAAGACTCATCTCCCAGCAGGGGTCTCGGGAGGGGGCAGGAAAGAAGAACTCAGAGGACCTGGCACTGATGTCTTTGAAAGTTCAGACTCGATAGTGGGGGAAAAAAGGAGGATCTATGTTTGTGATGTTCATGAATGGAAACCCCCAAAACAGAAAGAAAGAAAAGGCATTCGGGGCCTTTAGAGGAAGAGGGAAGAAGCCTTTCCTCTAAGTCTGTAGACTTATCTAGTGGCACAATAGGACAGTAAGGAGGGGTGTTTGACAGGTCCCCTAATGATCTGCCTAATTCTGATGGAATGCGAGGCTGGAGCCCACATTATGCGATGTATTTTCATAGAGCTCATGCCAGCACTAACTGATTACTGTCATTAGTGGATTATTAATATAAAAGGAGCCTCAGTTGAAGATCAACACACATAAATTCAGTTATCATTAAGGCTTTGGTGTACCTCAAAAAAACTGTCCTTTTGATTCTTTTAGTGTTTATTGGAAGCAAAGCTGGTAATGCCTAAATGTCAGTCACTTGGGGAGTAGTTATATAAATTATGACACAGTCATACCATGGAATATTAGGCAGTCCTTAAAATGATAGTGTAGATTATTATTACTGACATGAAAAGGCTCCCAACATACTTACAATTTAAGATTGGGGAAAGAAGTGGCTTGCACAATAATGTTTATGGTATCATTCAAGTCATTTTGTAAAGGAAAACATGTATGTACAGGAAAAATCTTTGGGGAGATGGGCTTATTTTCTCTCCTTTTTTTGCTGTTTTGAGTTTTTGTTTTTACTGAGAGCATAGGTAATAATAAAATTACTGTATTTTCAAAACAAAACATTTTTTTAGTTTCTAACCACTTTTAGGCAGAACTTCAACCTGAGAGAACACATTAGTGCCATATTCTTCCCAAATACCAAAGCAGGACATTACATGGCAAGAGGAGAAAAAACTGAATAAAGCATATTAGGAGGTGATGCTGTCTTGTTTCTGTTCAGGACCTTGTCTAAAACATGGAAAAAACACGGGAGAGAGACAGAGGATGGAGGGGCCACATGGTCCTGTAGTCTGGGTCTTCTCTATAGGTCGTGTTAGAAAAGGGATCTAGTCACGTCGAGGTTAAAGCACGTTGCACCGGGTACACACAGGGTAAGATAGCGGGCTTCGGGAAGAGGGGTGACTGTGGGCGCAGGAGGGAGATGGGAGTAGGGACTGGGTGCCCAAGATGCTCAGAGCCATGGAATCGCCATGCCAAAGTTTGCTTGGAGAAATCATAATGTTCCAACATATTTATATTTAATAGCTCCCACAGGTAATCAACACTTAGCCAGGTTCTGAGGCTCTGTGTAACCCCCTGCACCGCATTTCCCCCCACGCACAGGTCCTGGGATGCCAGTGGGATCAAAGGGGGTGGAGGGCCATGCTCTCGTCCTGTGACACCAACAGCATGCACATTCCCCTTGGGCAGTGCAGAGGGGAGCAATGGCTCTGTGGGTTGGTCGGCTTGAGCACAGGCACTCAAGAGTGACAGGTCTGGTAGAGTGGAACATCATGCTTGTTCTGGAAGACTGAGGCAGTGAACGCAGGAGAAGCATTTGGAGGGTGGGAGGATGTGAAGGCTCTCTCAGTGCTGGATTATCCAGGGAAGAACGCGCCACTGCCCTTAATGCTGCCCCTCCTCAGAGTGGCCGCCCCTAGGCATTCCATGGCTCAGCAGCACCTCCTCTGGACAGTTTGTGAAAATTTAGCCTATCTCCCCCAGTCTCAGTGACCCATAAAAGTTTGATTTGGGGGAAATATTGTGCCAGCAAATATTTTAAAAATTATCTGAAAATCAAGTTCTCTTGAGCCTGGCTCTGTTAATGGGAATGGATGTGAGTGTGATGGAGGGGGGCCTCCAGTTCTCGCATGGAATCGCGCACTGTGGAAGAAGGTGGAGGAGGAGGCAGCTGGGAAAGTATATACTTCATACGATATTCATCTATTTCATCTTCTGGATTGAATTTGGTCCTCAGATTCTGCATCTACTGCCAAGCAAAGGTGACTTGGGTATAAAGATGCAATTAAAAATCATCACATATTAAAATTAAAAAATTATCATGTAGTAAATTTAAATTATTATATATTAAATTTCCTTTTTTCCTTTTGGTGTACAGTTTTATGAATTTTAACACGTTTGGATTCACATAACCACCACCACAATCAGAATACAGAATAGTTCCTTCACTTCTCCAAACTCCCTCATGATATATTTATAGCCACATCCTACCTCCACCCATAACTCGTGGACCACTGATCTGTTTTCCCTCAGGATAGTGTTGTATTTAAAATAGTGTCACATAAATGGGATAACACAGTTTGTAATCTTTTGAGACAGGCTTCTTTTGCTCAACATGTCTTTGATACTCATCCAAGTGGTTGCCTGTATTGCTTGGCTACTCCTTTTCATGGCAGAGTAGTATTCCACTGTAAAGCTGTGCCAGAGTTTAGTTAACTGTTCACTGTTAAAGTGCATTTGAATTGTTTTTAGCGTTTGAATATCACAAATAAAACGGTTACGAACATTAGTGCACAAGTTTTGGTGTGAACGTAAGTTCTGATTTAATAGGTTTGCTTGATTATATGGTAACTGTATGTTTAACTTTATAGGAAACTGCCAAACCATTTTTACAGAGTGGCTGTACAATTTTGCATTTCCACCAGCAATGTAGGAGAATTCCAGTTGTTCCACATCCTCACCAGCACTTGGCATTATCAGTACTTTTTATTTTAGCCATCCTAATATATGTGTAGTGGGATCTCAGCATAGATTTAACCTGTAATTCTTTAATGAGTGACGTTGAACATTTTTATGTGCTTATATTAGTCATCCTTCTGTCATTTTTGGTGAAGTGGCTGTTCAAATTCTTTGCCCATTTTTAAGTCTGGTTGTTTTTTTTTTGCTGAGTTTTGAGAGACCTTTATGTAAGGATGCAATTTCATTGTGATGGTAAAAGGAGCTGAGAACAAAGGAGAGGAAATAGAAGAGATTTCCTTTCCACTGTCTGGAAAGAATTGGAGTGTGAAAAAGGGAAAAATATGAGCTAAAACCAGTTGCAGATAGGTTTGTACTCTTCTCCTATACCCACCCTGGAAAATAATCATACTTACTGCTTCATAGTCAGCTAATTCCAGCCTTGCTTTATTCTGCATTGTCCTCTTACAGAGATAGATGGCTGAGGGAAAAGGAGAAATTACAACATATGCAAAACCAGTGTGGTGGAATCACAAATCCATCCATCCATCCATCCATCCATCCATCCATCCATCCATCCATCCAGCATGCCCGGCTGGCTAAGTCCCCAGCACTGTGCTTTGAAGAATATGTATCTATGTAGAATTCATGACACCTCATTTCTAGGAATCTTTCTGCAGGTCAGGATCAGGTGAGGACCCCATCTTCTAATCCTGACAAGCCCCCTTTCATCCTCCTCACTCTCCTTCACCCTAAACACGCTCCATCAGGACGTTCTTTCTCAAATATAACCATGTTACCATCTTGTATAAAAGGCCTGCATTAACTCCTCAGTGACATCAGAAGAAAGGTTGGGCTCTAGAGTAGCATAGTTGGTTCCTTAAGATCCAGTGTGCTTGTCCCTTCCTTTCTCACTCAGGCATGTGAGACTACCAACATCTTTCAGTTCCAGTCCTCTGTGTATGTGTCTGCTCCACAAAAGCCCTTTCCTTCTCCCTTCTTCTTCCCCTCTGTATATCTGACCACCTCCTACTAATTTTTGAAGACCCAGCTTGGTGTTCCATACAGCTTGATGTCGCATCTATCCATCCTCAACCATGGAACCTAATTCCAGTGCACTGTAATAGTGGATTTAATAATGGTGCCCTGCTTTATGCTGAAAGCTCTTTAAGGGCAGAGGCTGTGACCTGCCTAGCACTAGGGCCTGGTCTGCCCGTGGAATCAATGAACAGAGGACAACTTTGGTCTCTCTTCTCAACTGGAGGAAGGGTTCTTGGCCCTCAGTGGCCAGGACATTTTTCCTCAAACATGCTATTTATCATTTCCTACCTCTGCTCCTTTAGTATCTCCCTTTGTCTCCAGTACCACATAGACCAATCCAAAGAAGGCAAGAGATAAATGGTATGAATGAACAGTAGAATAATCAGAGAGGGAGGCCGGAGAGGACCTATTTGTTGTTTGACAACGTAGGTGCACCAGGATACCTAGTCAGTTCCTTGCTGAATTAAATAACCTCCTCCATGTGGTCTGAAAAATTTACTGACAATAGCCTAGGATATGCCGGAACCCTGTGGTTTAGCAGGCTACTCTGTATGCCCACACTTCTGTTCACACCAGTCGAGTAGGAAGTGGATGGGAGTCAGTTGTGTTTGTTCTCAACTCTGCTTATGTTAGGCATGTCTGTTGTTTTAATAACATTAGTGCACTAAATATCACATACACTGACGCAATGAATATGAAAAGAGAGAATTGTTGCTGTGAAATTGAATGGTTCAGAACAAACTTGATAAAGAAGAGTTAGCTAAGACAACTGTTGATGAATTTGGGACAGGTGAGATAACTGAAAAAAGTGAGAAAAAAAATTTTCAGAGAGGTAAACATACAATTTCAAAAGTGTTTTTAAATTGTTGATGTGCTTTAAAGATGCCAAAACTGGATGATTTATTTTGTGTGGTTTACTTAAGAAAAAAACAAGTTACCCATAATCCGAGTGACCCTTTGGTCCTACCTTGAAAAGCTGCCAAATGAATATTCTTTTGTACATCTTACATTAATATGAAATCATTAAGGTATGTCTTTATTATTTTTCATGATTCTCTACTTACCAACTTTTTTAACGAACCAAGCAGCTACAGCTCTCCATTGAGTCTGAGAAAGGGACTATTTTTTGGTCTCTTTGCCCACCAGTTAGGCAGCCTGTGGAACTGGGGACAACCTGAAGCAGGAAACCTGGCATGTCACTGACCCCAGCAGGCCTGGTCTGGATGACCGAGGAGCAGTGCAGGTCAGTGGGGGTGGTAGCTGTTTTAACAATGGTGCCTTAGACGTATTTTGTATTCGCCAAACGTGAGACTCAGGAAAGTCTAAGTCAGATTGGGGCTTTACTGAGGCAGGATCATCCTGAGAAATTTATAACCCATCTGGGTCAGAATGCACCAGCTGGGTTTGAAGTATCAGGTACTATGCAGGAATGAAAAGCTGGTACCATCCCTGATGACCGTGACGTACGTGGTTGCATGCGTTCAGCCCAGCCCCTCTGTGGCTGTCGTCACATAGTAGGGAACCCGTTCACCAGAACTAGGGGGGAGGATGTAGCTGTTGCATGGACCTCTTGGCACAGGCCCTCTCTGGGGTTCTCTGCACTACCTCCGTGCCTTCAACAGTGCTTGCTCTCACATCTAACAGTCAAATGACTGCTGGCAACAACAGCCAGTCCTATAGCAGGGCATCTGGGGGACTGGCTTTAAGCTCAGATGTTGGTTTTTCTTGGATATTTAATTTCTCATTGAAAAACCTTTGTCTTCTTGTCCTTACACCGGGCATTGCTGCCTCACAGGCATCTCACTCGGATGACCCTCCATCATCACAAGCTCACAGTGTATCACCATGACGAAAATAGAACACGTTACTGAGGACGAACTGGTGGTTGCTAGAGGGAAGGGCACTTGGGGATTGGGTGAAAGAGGTGAAGGGATTAAGAAGTACAAACTGCTAGTTACAGAATAGTCATGGGGATGTAAATTACAGCATATGGAATATAGTCAATAACATTGTAATAACTATGTATAGGGCCAGGTGGGTACTGGAAATGCTGGAGGGGGGCATTTTATAAAGTGTATGATTGTCTAACAACTATGCTGTAAACCTGAAACCAATATAAAATAATATTGAAAGTAAACTGTAATTAAAAATGCAAATAGTAAAAAACAAATAATTTATAAACAGAATGGATTCATGTGCTACATGTGTAATTAAACATTTAAAAAATACTGATCTTAGTCTATTTCAATGCGCTTTAAAAAACTGACTCCTTTTCCAAACTGTCTTTACTAATGACGGCATCATTATTTACCTCAATCTCCTAAACTAGGGAACATAGAAAGCACGTATTCCTCTATTTTCCTCATACTCTGTGATTACTTTCTAGATCAATGGAATTTTAGCATTGAAAGTAACCTTGGCAACCATCAAGTACAGACCCCTCATTGACAGATGGGAAAACTAAAGGCCAAGAGAGGTGAATTGATTTACTCACTGGCTAGTGAGCGGTGGAGGTGGAAATAGAATTAAGGTCTAGCTCAGAGCTTTTTCCACTATGACATTCATTGCCCCATTTACTTATTCATTTACTCATTAAAATTTTTATCGAATGTTTCTTATGTGCCAAGCACTGTTTTAGGTGCTGGGGAAATCACCATAACAGCTGCTACCATTTACATGAAGCTCCCTGAGTGCCAGGCACTTCATGACATTCAGAGGTTCACTTACTTAATCCTCATAATAGTCCTATGAAGTGGGTTCTGTTCTTACCCTCATTTCATAGATGGAGAAACATTTTAGGTCATTCTCCACTACTGGGGATCCACAATGGCTCTGCTGAATACATTCGAAATGTTTCTCTCTTCCTTGAAGGCTTTTTAAATAAATCTGCCCCTCCCAAACTCTTCAACCTTCTCAAACATTCTTCATCAGCACAAAACCTTTGAAACCTCAGATCAGACTCCTCACTATGCCCTTCTTACTCCCATCATGCCGCCTCCCTGCAGTGCCTGGAGGGCAAGGCTGTGACTCCCTCGAATCTGTGACAGTGTAATTGACACACAGCAAGCAATCAAGAAATGTTTGTTGAATGAATGAAAGTTCTTGGTCCTTTGTCAATCCAAACCATACCTATTCTGAATTCTTAGCTTCAGTTGCACATCCTTTCTAGCAAGAAGGCCACCACAGAGCCAATAAGATCAAACATCAACCAAGGAGTAACAATACCAACCACCATTGTGGTTTTATGGACTCCTTCCTGTGTGCCACACACCAAACCTTACTTGAATTTCATTTAATCCTAACAAAACAACAGTAGGAGACAACTATTATTATCATTCTGCTTTTAACATGAGGTTTCTGAGGCACAGAGAGGTTAAGTAACTTGTTAAGATCATACAGCTAGTGGAGCTAGTCAATGCTGGGCCTTCTGTGCTGAATTCTTGGTAAATACTTATTCATTTTCTGGCTAAAGTGCTTGGGAAATGCTGTGAATGATTTTGAATCCTGTACCTTAATTTCATCTGATTTGCCAAAATTGAGATATAGGAATTAAAAAATAACTTTGCTTTAATGAGAGCCTGACATAAACTGTTACTTCTGTTCCTATTTATGCTGCACAACTAAAATTATAAAATGGAGAAAACCTGTAGAGAAAGGGAAATAATGCCTAGTGTATGCAGATTCCGATGGTCTCAAGTAAATATTATAAATCTTGGGCCCAGTCATCTGGTCTACCACCCTCCCCCCCTCACTGTTGCCTGGAAAAATATTGGTTTCCACATTCACAAGGGCCCATGGCCACTTTATGAAACTGAGCTACAATGATTCAAATTCCAAGTTGGGCTTTTGTTAGCAAAATTTCACCCTCAGAAACCCTTGTTTTATGAGCAGCCAAACGCAGCTCCCACTCTGAGCCAGAAGCCTTGCTGGATCCACTTATCACATCATTCGGGGCACAGCACAGGTCCAGAGGGATCCACAATGGTGCCTGCAGACAGCTGATGAGACAGCAGAGGGGCCTGTCCTCTGCATAAGGGCCATTTTCCAGACTTGGAAACAGAACATCCGTAACCTGATTAGGCAATGACTTATCCACATCCCATCCTGAGGGTCATTTCCAACTGCTAGTCACCCCTCCTTCCCTCACATGGGTAATCTGGAGGGTGTATTTTGTCACACAGGTCTCCCAGACTGCCCTCCTCCTCCCCCTGCCCTGCCCTGCACACCACCCACTGCGGCTACCTCTGCCTTCCTGTGTAAATGAGCATGCAAAGAGCCTGGGAGAGGCTGCAGGTCTCTCTTTAAGGGTCCCAGAGCCAAGGAGAGCTACTGTGAATTGCTAGTAGCTAAGTCAGTGATGAGGATGCTGTGCAAAGGGACGGGTGCTGCTGCAACAATGTTGTGCACAGGACCAGGATAGGAGCATGGGCTTTGGAGCCACTCAGATCTGAGGTCAAATTCTGCTGCCTCTACTGAGTGTCTGTTAAGCACCCTTAGTAAGGAACCAGAACCCTCAGTAAATGCTCAGCACCAGCTGTGCCTCAGGCATGCACTGGGGGATAAGAGAATGAACTAGGTGGGCCAGTCCTCCTTCCATGGAGCTTCCAGACAAATAGAACACAGTGTGGTAAGGGTTTGGAGGTGGCCTCTCTAGGCTTCAGTTTCTTTATCTAAAGTAGAGGGACAATTATTACTCCTTTAGAGGATAGGCACATAGAAAAAAAGTCTCCACAGAGAGAATATGGCAAGCGTCTCATAGATCCCTCCCTTTATAAAGGTAACTCCCTGCTTGCCCAGCACCCAACTTCACCCGCACTTTGTTTCCTAGGCCCTCTCTGATCTGTCTCCATTTTACATCAATTCCAACTATCAAAACCACCAATGAGTTATTAATAAGCCTTAGCAAGTCTGTGAGAATAGAAAGGGTCAGGGAGAGGTGGCGCCTTGATCTAGTCCTCCCAGGAGGGAACAGTCAACAGCTATTGTTCTACAATATTGCTGTGGGGTCCTAGTTTTCCAGGGCCCCACAGAATGAACATACTGGCCATCCTTGATAGATTTCTTCCTTCCCCCATTTCCTTCCAATGGCTGCATCTTTCAGGGTGTTCTGCCTTTTTTTCATTATGTGGAACAGGATGTTTATTACATGTCAAGTGCATGACAAAGAGCTAAGCAGGGTAAAGGGCCTCCTCCCCGTGCACTCCAATCGCAAGACACAAGGCATTTGTTTTCCACACTCCCAGGAGTAACACTGGGTGTGGGCTGTGGCTTCTCTGCTCACCATAGTCAGTGTTTTCAGGCTCCCAGCAGTTCGAAGGCCAGAAGTACGGAGCCTGCAAAAGAGCAGAGGTGTCAGGACTCAGAAGCATGCCAGCACTTGCCTGCCCCTGTCTAGGGGTCGGGGTCAGCCCTCCCCTGGGCCCAGGACAGGCTCTGTCTCCATCTTCTTTATGCTGACACCATAGCCCAACCTCCTCCTGTTCTAATGCAGCTGAGGCTGGTTAACATTTTAATCTAGGCATTGAGAAGTGAAACCAGGTAAACAGAATGAATGAGAGGATGAGAAAGTTAGTTTATAGAGCAAAAACTTTTTATCCTGAGACAAAAGAAGTCTAACTACAGAAGTCAGACTGGCACATTTTACTGGGTACAAACCCCAGGTTCCTGAATTGTGTTCCCCCCGAGTTCATATAATGAAGCCCTAACCCCCAGTGTGGCTGTGTTTGGAGTAAGCAAGTAATTAGGGTTAAATGAGGCCATTAGAATGGGACCCTGATCCCATAGGATCAGTGTCCTTGTAAGAGGAAACAGCATTTCTCCTCTCTCTCTCTCTCTCTCTTCCCCTCCCTTCTTCCCTCCCTCTCCTTCCCTCCCTCCCTCCTTCCCTCCCTCAAACATAACAAAAAGCAGCTGTTTCAAAGCCAGGATGAGCGTGCTCACCATAAACCAGACACTATTGGTACCCTGATCTTGGACTTCCAACCACCAGAACTGTGAGAAATGAATGTCCTTTGGTTAAGACACCCAGTTTGCGGTGTTTTGTTATGGCAGGCTGAGCAGACTAAGATACCCTTTGGTACTGTCTGAAGAACTCTGCTTCCAAACTCTTTGGTTTTGGCCTTGACACAACCCCTTATGCTCTGCCCCAGGTCTGGGACAGGATCTGAGAAAACAGTGGAAAATGGGTGTGAAGGGTTGTTAGGTAACAAATAGAAACATCACATCAGGAAGCCAGCATGATACAATAGAAAGAGCGAGACCTTTGCTATCAGGCTGACTTAGGTTCCAATCAAGGCTGTCTCTTAGATTTACTAAGGGCCCCATTAATGCTCTGAACGCCTCAGTTTTCCCATTTGTGATATGTGTTCCCCAGAAGTTTGTTCTTCAGAATAAATGAGGAAATATGGATAAATTGTCCAATACATAGTAGGTTCTCCAAGAGGGCTTTTGTGTATCGTTTGGGTGAAGCAATAAATGGCCCAGACAAAAGTTTTCTCGGTTTTCCCAAAGATGGTGGGAGATAAGGGCTGCTCCCTTAAATGCCCCCAGGGTTTTTACGTGGTTCTGATCTGCGATCAGAGAAGAAAAGGTTCTTTAGGAGGAGGAACGGCGGGCCTACCTGGAAACGATAAAAGGTGCCGTCATCCTTCAAGGTGAGAACATGGTCTGAGATGGGAAAGATGTAGCCCTGGGCAGCTATGAGGCTTCCCAAGTGTATTGCTTCACCTATGGGGACAGGGCATAAGAGACAGAAGTAATTAGGAGGCTGTCAGAGTGCAGGGCTCCTTCGCTGAAATGTCAGCTGTGAGGGCAGAAAGGCAACCGGAAGTCGACTGTCATCAGCCCTAGATAACTGCTCGACTGACTGACTGATAACTACGCTATCACTGCACTGGGCTGGGGGAAGAGGTCCATGGCTGGGAAGGGCTGCCGTGTGCCTGGGACTTCTCTGGATCCCAGCTGTGAGTCCGACATTGCTTTAACCTCCCACCCCACCAACCCTTCCAGAAGAAAGTGCTCATGGTTAAGAGCGTGAGCCTTGGTGTAGATAAAGCAGTAGTTAACTGAGATATTTCACATAAAGTGCTTAGCAGGGCCCGGTGCAGGGTCAGGACTCAACAAGCACTGGCAGCTCGGAGTCTTTTTTTATTGTCACCGTTGCTTAACATCCTCAGCAATGAGTGTGCAGCCTCACCGCCCATAGAGACTTTGGACTCACATCGCATTCCCCGACGTGACAGTCCTTTCTCTTATGAACACAAAGGAAAACTTCGATTTTGTGGTGAGTTGTGTAGTGGGCAATGGCACGTGAGGGCCAATCTGATAAAAATATTTATATTTTTGCAACAATCAACATGCTTTGTTAATTTAGCACCGACTATAAATAGATTCACAGAAATAATCATTAAGAACTTATATTTATGCATATTCTGAGAAGAGCTAAGAAAAACAATAAATTTAAATTGTTCTATCATGCATGATAATATAAAAGCACTCTTCACAAATATAAAAGTACTCTTACTAGCAAAAACTAATTTTTGGAGGTGGAAATTTTTGACACCAAGAAGAGTCTCTAGGAATTATTACTTTCCCCCCAAAATCTTTAAGTAACTTGTTTTGGCTTTGTTTGCCAACTTTTCAAGAGGTTGTGTATAATCCAGGCATTTTGTTTTTTAAGAACCACCAAGCCTCCTTCAGAAGGAACATTCACTTGTAACTGGTGGAATCAAAGGAATGGAGTTTTAGTTTACTTGCCTAGTGATCACCTGCTTGCTTTAAGGACAATGGGTCCAGCAGAAAAGGGATGTTTCATCACCTGCAGCTGCTCCTTTCCCAGGAAAGGAAAAACAAAATCCAGTAAGAAGGTGACTTTCCTGTCACCCATCTAGGAGCTAGAACTCACTTCATTCTCTGAGCAAAAGGGCTTTTGCTAGGAAACGTGGCAGACAGGAAGAAGAAAGGGAGAGGGGGTGGAAGTGAGACAGGCCTGGCTTCCCAGGGCCTTTGTTTGCTTCATTTCTACCCTCCTGTTCACAGCTCTTGAGTTGCTCCTAACTTCTCCTGCTCTACCACTTCTTAGAAGCCCCTGTTGGGCTTCCCAGCACATGGATGCTCTTTCAATGGCATCAAAGTACAACAGACCTTCACAGCCATGACCCTGGCCATTCTGAACCTTTCACAGGAGCTTCTCATACTAGGTCCAGAGAGGATTCCTGAACCTATTCTCCTACCACTAGCTGGTTCAGGGTTCTCCGAACACTACTACTAACCATGACTACTACCACTACTACTAATGCTGCTGCTGCTGCTATCAATACTACTACTACTCACAACAATAACAACAAAAATATGTCAGTAATACAGTGATTATTTTAAAAGGGCAAAGAAACTGGTGCTCTTGGAAGAGAAGAGACCACTGTGAAGAAAGGTGGTCTCTTTCATAATCAAAATCAAAATCATAATCAAAAGAAATGTTGGCTTTAAATCCATGGAACTAAACTGGTAGAGACTTATTTAGTCTAGGTTTTATAAGTGGACAATCCGAAGAAGTCCAGGCTGTGTAAGAAAAATACGTAGGCTAGTTGATTCAGGTTCTGTTCTTAAAAGGATTAGCATGTAGAGTTTTCCCCTGTGGTTAAAGAACTTGACTAGAATTAAGAGTTTTCACTGGCCATGAGAGCGACCATTAATCAAGGCGGTGGAAAAGGCTACTGTCACTTCCATTAATGACCTGCTTTTTCTGGCACTCAGATTTCTGGCAACTGTATTTAATCAAACTCTATGTAAATTGTATTGTTTTGTAGTCACTAGTATATTAGGAGCATCAGATTAAAATACAGGAATGCCCAGGCTGACATGCTGACCCCAGCAAGGGATCACCGCTGAAGGACAGACACCTAGAAGGGGCACTTGAAAAAAAGTCTTTAAAAAGCATAGCAAATCAAGGCCTTTTAATTCGGGGCAAATAGGTCAAATCCATAAGAACATCAGAATACCATGTGTGGGTATTTATAAACATGAAATATAGGCATCGAGAATACTCAGTTGAGACAGGGAGTGAATAAATTCAGAAAAGTATTAATTAATACACATGGGTAATAAGATATACTTATCTAGAATTTTCATTTTTCTGGAACTTTCTATTTTCTAATTATGCTGTGAAAATAAATTTTAATGCTTATTTACTGGTGGGAGGACAGATTTGGAAACTGTTTTATTGGCCAGAGTTTTGTTGTTGTTTTTCTGGTAAGGTTTTCTTAATTGAAATGCACAATTAAAGTTGAAAAAAAAATCATTCCTTCACTTATTGCAGAAGCAGAAAACAGAAGGCATCTTAGCAAATAATTAAACATCTTTATTGTGAATCAGGCAATCCAATTTTAAGATCTGGCTCTCAAAGTCTGTTCCATAACAGCACTACAACTTATCTTTAATTGCTGTGGCTAATGAGAATTCATCTCATTTCACATGTTATTGTATTGGGCACTTTGGCATTTTTAATGGTTGTTCATTTTCTCAAGGGTTGGTTTAAATTTAAGGGTAGATATTCAGTAGAGAAAATAAATCAATTTCATTTGTAAGAAGAGTGATCCTACATTTTGGAATTTGCGCTTATAAGCCCAGTCCTCAGGAGAGTAGAAGAAGCTGGTCTGGAATCTGGCTATGGGATGGTTTCTGATACCATGGTGGGGCGTGGGGGTTGCACAGTCAGGATTGAGGGTCAAGTACCTGGGTCTTCAATGGAAAGGTTCTTCATAAGCCACTGCACGATGTCAGTACCTGCAACGATAAAGCAATTCAACTGAAGACTTCATGGCTGTCAAGCCCTGTGGCAGGAGAAACATGTTTACCTAAGAGGCTCCTAATTCGAATTAGCACACACCTGGAGAGCTGCTTTTTTATCCCCAGAAACTCTTTCCACCCATCAGTTCACTTCCATAGTCATAATCGCATTCTTTTACAAAAAACCTCCACTTCTGATAACTCTGAATGATCTTATATCCACTTCTCCAGGGAGCCTCTGGAGGGGACTTCCTGTGAATATAGACTTGGACGACTTCCCCAAGACCAGCTGGTGAAGTTTGCTCATGCCTGGCCCTCAGGCCATTTCCTGTGGAAAGAGGCCTCTTCAGCTCCTGCCGTCACGGAGAAGGGCTGACCAGGTTCCTGACAGAGTCTCTAGTTCCTTCCAGCATGGCCCCCCCACCCCCCGAAAGAAAGTACCCCTGTGTCTGTGGGAGCAACCTCCATGTGTTCGCCTACCCCGGGGCCACAGCTCAACGGCTCAGGCTCTCCCGCAGGGGACTGAGTTCTGCTGGGCAGTTCTCCTGACATACAATCGATGTCTCCTTGAGTTCCTCCGGGCGAAACGTGCCTGGGTCCCTCGCTGCTTCCTTGCATGACAGGCCCTAGAGTCCCTCACCACTTTGGTTCCAATTCCCTTTTGTTTGCCTCCCTTTGACAAGGTGGCACCTAGAACCAATGTTTCTTAGGGCAGCACAGTTCACAGGGGAGTAGGAGTCCAATTTTCTGGACGATTCTGAACTTTGGATCGAACCACCTTTATCACCCCCAAAATCTCACTTTAAATGAGTGCAGACCCTTAAAGGTGGTCTTTTCATTTCAGGATGGGGTGTGTGATGGAAAACAGCCCCAAAGGGCAACATTTCTAGACATCCGAGCCCTGGCATGGGTCTGAGGCGAGATGGGAGGGACCCACGGCCGCCTCTGCTGGGATAGGCTCCCAGCCGAAGACTGGGGAGCCCGCAGAGGGCTGTAACTATTGTCCTTTACCCAGAAATAAGGTTTCCAGAGATTGGACTGGTTGCCAGAGGGGAGACCAGTTCAGGCCTGAGCGCCTAGACATTTTGTTTCTCTCTGGCTCTCTGGACGGTCAATGACCGCCACACAGTATGTAAACTGCCAGGGTCGCATCCTGCTCTTCCTGTGTGCTCCCCAATCCCCCCCGGGACCAGCCTCCACTGACACTACCCTGCAAGCCCCTCACTTTTCAACCTCAAAAGCAGGACTTCTAAGCTTTTCCCCACTCTTGCTATGGGCTGACTTCTATGAGCTAAACTTTGTATCCAAAACTCTCCTACTCATTCACATTCTTTGAGAGAAAAGGAGAGTATGTCTGTGTGCTTGTGTGTGTGGATCCGTTTCCTCCAAATTATACAAGTTCAACATTTGTCCTAGGAAATGAAGAACAAAGCAGAAATCAAATAAAGAACTGTAATCCCAAGTTGGGGGTGGGGGAGAGACTCTAACCTGTTTTTTCCTCAAAAGAAAAATAGTTCTCTTTTGTGGGTTGCCTAGAAACGGAGAGGTTTCCAGCATCAGCAACAGCTCTCCCCCGGGCAGGCGGATTATCTTTCTGCTGAGCTGGCCGAACCATTATTTATCACCTGCCAAGACTGATTACTCACCCTGGGACAATGACAGCCCTTCCTTTCCCCTGTTAATTACTGTCATCATTAATATCCATGTCACTAATTAGTATTCATTCACATTGAAACCCCTTCCTAGCTGTCATATCCGTTCCCCCTCCACCCCACCCCAGCCCGCGGCACTATTGTCTGGATTTCTACCCCCTTTTGGCTTTATGGGCTCAGCGTCTAGCCTAATTGTCTCCCCAGTCCACCAGGGCCCCATTTGCATTCACAGAGCTCAAGGATCCCATTTAAACACTTTTTTTTTTTTTTTGTAAAAATGGGAAAGTCACAAAGGCCCTTTTCCTTTTCACCTAGCACTGTGGGGACCACAGGCCTTGGTTTCTTGTCCCCAGTGCAGCCACCATGACAGTCAGTATCTTCATCTGGGGACTGGTGTGACAGTCCTCATGCCCTGGTCGAGGGCCGAGCTGCCACCCCTGGCTGTCCTGGGCCACTGCCCTTGATCAGCAGCAGCACCCGCCTCCCCGCCACTCCTCAAACGCCACTGGCACAGCGTGGTGGACGCCAGCAAACACGACTGTGCCTGTGGCTGAGGACACTCTCCTTCGGTGGGCACGGGGTATTCCAGGCTCCCGAGGACAGATCCAGGAGGGGCCAGCCTCCTGCCTGGTGGCAACAGTAAACTATCGCATGTTCGGCCCCAGGAACAAGTAAGGAAGAAAAATCTGCCATAACATTTCTGTTAAAAGACCAGCCCTCGCTGGTGTGACTCAGTGGATTGAGCACTGGCCTGCGAACCAAAGGGTCGCCAATTTGATTCCCAGTCAGGGCACATGCCTGGGTTTTGGGCCAAGTCTCCAGCAGGGGCGTGTAAGAGGCAACCGCACATTGATGTTTCTCTCCCTCTCTTCCTCCCTTTCTTCCCCTCTCTCTAAAAACAAATAAAGAAAATTAAAAAAAAAAACAAACTACAACTATTACACTGTAGAATCAGGTAAGAATAGTCCAAATAACTATCAGGAGAAATCATTCTTCTCTTTTCTCTTTCCTGTTGTCCTTTTTTTCCTCCTTCCCCCAATCATTCTTTCTTTCTTATCATAAAAAGAATTTTAAAAAGATTATTTTTCTGTTCTGTCCAAAATTAATTGTTCACCTTTGTAATCACTGGTGGGTTCTGGTTCTTGTCTTGGTCAAGGTGCCCTGCCAAAAACTGAAAATCCATATGAAAACATAGGAACAAATGTGGGATAATTACCCTTTATTCCTAAAGATCCTAAAATGCTTGGCTTAAAGTTTTTTAAAAGTGATTTTATTTATTTATTTTTGGACAGAGGGGAAGGGAGAGAGAAAAAGAGGGAGAGAAACATCAATGTGCGAGAGAAACATCAATTGGCTGTCTGCATGCCCCTAACTGGGGACTTACCCTGCACCCAGGCATGTGCCCTGACTAGGCATTGAACCAGAGACCTTTTGGTTAGCAGGCTGGCACTCAACCCATTGAGCCACACGAGCCAGGGCTACAATTTTTTTTTTGAGGTGAATTTATCAACATACATTCCAGGGATGTCCATGAAAAACACTAGAAGTCACCTGAAACACTTGTCCACACACGAGTGCTTTGTTCACATATTTACATACATATTTATTATGTGCAGGCATGCTTTATGTTTCTATATGTATTGTATATATGCATCTCATTTATGGCATTATATACATATATATATAATAAGTTATGTTTATTGGAAGGGTTTTTAGAGAAAACTCAAAAGTTCTGTAGTAGGGGATTGAATAAATAAATTACGGCTCATAATACAATAAGTATTTATTGAACACCTATTATATGAAATAAAAAAGCATACTGAGAACAGTGTATATAGTAAAATGACATTTTTACAATAGGACATATATACTTGTATTTATATTCTACTAATTACACACGTATGGGTATATACAGATATGGAGAAGAAAAGTTCTGGAAGTGCATTTCAACTGCTGATTTTAGGTTATCTTGTGGGGGGGGTCACATTATAGGAGATTTCTATTCTTTAAGTTTCCTTATAACTGGAGTTCATTGGAGGTTAATGTATTACTTTTGCACTGAGAGGAATACTTTTCGTTTTAAAGAGCAGAGAGGGAAGCCCTGGCCTCCGAGGCCACAGTGGAGAACCCAGGCTGCAGACTCAGAGAGGAGAGGGCGTGGGGAACAGGAACGCGCCCCCTGCGCCTGGGCCCTGGCGCCTGTGCTCCCGGGGAGAGGGCAGCGGGGAGGAGGCCAGGACTCGCGCAGCGGTGGCCTCCTTCCTGGGCAGAAGAGAGCGTGAGGCTCTCCCATGGGTCCCTCTCCCTGGCCACCTGACTGGCCCCAGAGCCTCCGAGTGGCTTTTGGTAGATTCTCCCAGACCGTTTGCGATAGTCCTGGACTGAGGGTGATGCCTGACCCCTCCCCGTGTTGCTTACTGTTTCCTCGTGTGGAGTGAGACCCAGCGATCTCTCCCTGGGGACTTCCCAATGGTTATTAACTCTAGGTCAGTGCAAGGCGGGTTTGAGGAAGCTGGTAAGAGCTTTCAAAATTTTCAGGAGTTCTTTCTGATTTGGGGGGGATGCTTATTATAAAATAAAGGGTTCTATTCTGGGCTTTGTCTTCAGGTGTTTTAAGTTGGCCTGAAGAGTTAGAGATATTGATACATGGAGCTTCTTCCCAAATAAGTCGGAACACAAGCAGATCCTACAAGAAACACTCCCCTCCATTCTTCCCAAAGTATTGTATCAATCTGACTTCAGACTAAATTTTGCAAACTTGATAGCCGACTGGTTCCAATCACCTGCAAATTTCAAGTTACCTAAAACTTAGTAGCTTATGTATCATCGTATTGACAACTGAAGCCATTGATACCTTACTTATCAACCCTCACCCTTAGAGAAAGATACTCCTATATGAGTAAAGTGTTTCTGGAGCCCAATGAAAGGTAAGTTGGTTCCTGCTGTGAGCAAGTTCACTGTTCTCCTCAGTCAAGACGATGACTCAGTCTGACACTGGGTTCTCATATACCTGCCAAGGTCTCAGCTGCCCCTGTGTATGAAGGAGGTGGCTTTATGCCACCTCATCAACCACGTAAATGCCATTTCAGGCCAACATTCCTGAATGGGGAGCGACATTCCTGACTGCCCTCTGTGTACCAGGCCAGAGTATGCCCTTGACCCTGTTATCACAAATCATCTTGACGACAGTTGTGCAAAATATAATAATTATTATACCCATTTAAAGAATTGAGCCCAGAGAGGCCCAAGGTCACATACTAGTACCTATTAGAGCACAGGTTTAAATCCATGCAACCTCATGCCAAATATTACTTTCACTACACCATTCTGCCTCTCTTATCTCCG